TTTGCATATAAAGTCTTTTCTACTTAAAAAACTCTAATGAGTTTTCCAATTCTTATAAGAAGATAGGTGAACAAGGCAGAATGCCTATAGCTTCAGATTTATAAAAATCATATTCAATTTGTGAATTTAGCATTTATAGTAAAGTTTTCAGAATTAAAATTTATGAAATTATGATAAACAAAACTTTTTTGAGATTTTTTTTCCGGAAGAAAACACTCTGTTATCAAAAAATAATGTGGTATTCGTGGGGTTCGAACCCTAGCATTAAAAATCCTGGATTTCATTTTCGTTTGAAACTAACGCGCTAACCACAACGCTACACAGCTCCTGATGTATAATGGCATTTAAATATTGGTTGTTATATAACCTTTGATTAAATGGACTTCAAATATTTCTCGGAAAGATGTGAATATTGTGTCATAAAAGTGTATTTTTAATCAATCTTGGTGAGATTTTTACAAGTTTTGAACATTTTGCATAAAGTATTCTTTAATGTTAGATGAAATATCACAGAAAAATTTTTATAATTGAGATTAATTTTTCACTATCATGTTTGTCGCACCATAGGCATTCTGCACGTCTTGTTCACCTATCTTCTTTTTCAAAATATTTGCAAATCTACTGACTTTTTACAAAACACAGAAGGCAGTAAATGACTCCAGTCAGGTCTTAGAGGGAGAGGTTCAAATTAAATATATCGACGACGTACTATCAGTTAACAATAGTTACTTTCATTCATATGTCGACTTGATATATAAATATATATCCCAGTGAATTTGAAATAAAAGATTAATTAATTGATTGATTGTATGATGTTTTACGTCTATTCGAGGATTTTCACTCATATAGAGACGTCACCATATACCGGTTAAGGGCTTCAAATTTTGACCTTTACTCAGCACTCAGGGTTATTGAGCAGTGAGGGATCTTTATCATGTCTAACGCCACGGTTTTTAGGGTCTCATCCCTAGAACCCGCAACTTTCACTTCAATATGCAGAGCGCTTAGCGAAGGAACAGTTGCTACCTATTTTTTATAGACGTATGTCAGTCGCGACAGGGTTTCGAATCCAAAACCTCCGATCGTGGAGCGAGCGCTCTACCGAATGAGCTACCGTGACGGTGAAATGAAATACACCACAGAGTGTGACATATGTGTTTCATATTTGGATATTTTACAAAAAGACGTTAATGGTAACCTAACAACAAAAACTTTATGATAAACGTGATGACTTCAATTTTTCTATCGCCAGCCTCCCTTACTTGTGTAGCAATATACCCTTATCACCTGCATATGGGGTTTATGCCTCCCAGATGATAATACGCAAGAGCATGCTCTATGTACGAATAATTTCTAAAACGATGCAAGCTATTAATAAACAAGTCGATGAAACAAGGATATAAACAGTCTGGTTTAAAGTCAACATTTCGCAAGTTCTATGGTCCTTACAAATGATCTTGTCAGCAGATACAATCTATGATTAAGTCGAATGCTGACTGACTTTTTTTCATACCAAGTGATAGATCATTATTTGCACACTGAATTGTCTACGGATTTTTCCGTAAACCCGAACATGACAATGAATGCACAGCGAGTGTGACCGGTCGACAGAGGATGAGGATGCTTACTCTTCCATGAACTTGACCCTACTTCTGATGTTTTAGAGGGCCGTGTTTGCTCTTCTACCGTTTCATATTCTTTCAAAGGACTTTTGAGCTTAAGGATAAATAACACACACTTTTTTTTTTTAGAAATCAGCAAAATCTCTGATAGATTAATATTCAAATTGGTAACATGAATGATTTTTTCCAGGTAAAGTGGAAGAATTTTGTAAGATTTTGTCAGTGTCAAAAATATGTGCAAAATTTTGTATAGAATTACATAGAAAAAGATACAAAGTTGCATATCTAAGCATCAAAGAAAACTTACGATTTCTTTATATTTTAGTGACTGATTATTTATGTCATTTCCATACAAAATCAGTCACGAATATATATCAATTCATGCATTAAATTTTTGTTTGTGTTTTGTATCCTTAAATACTGTTGTTCGTTTTCTTCATATTTCATATAACCACTTCTTCCAAAATTGCAAGAGCAAAAAAATATAACGTGCGTGTGATGAGTACACATATTTCTCTAGAACGATGAAATGTAATCATGCTATGCTAAAACCTCTGAATCTTTTGAATGTTTTATTTGCTCACCTGAAGTTTTAATCGAGGGCTGGGGAGAGGTCAAACTGAATATTCTTAAGGGGAGGATGAAACGGGATCAAAAACCTTCCAGATATTTACATACTGATATATATACTGTTTTTTGGGGGGGTTTTTTTTTGGTTATAAATGTTAAAAACTATTTTGTTTACGTATTTATGTAGCTTGTCAGATTATTATTTTAAAACTGGATCGATTACTGTAGAGGTATTTGAAAAACTCAGGTATGTATATCCCGTACTTTTTATATTTTATTTAATGTTCATAACAATAAGAATCTTGACTCTGGGACGTATGGCATTTTTTCTCCAAGTATAATAACATAGTATATGTATTCTAAATACATGCATGATTTACCAGCTGTTTTGACTGATTTCCTTATAAGGGAAATAAAAAAAAAATTATTTATCGCTTATGAACATAAAGTATGAGATTTTTGCAAAAACATGTACAACCAAATGAAATTATTTATATCTGAGCGCATTTTGAAATCATTTATACTTGTATCATGACTGTGGTGTTTTTCCTTTGAAGTCAAGTGTACAATAACTGGAGATACACCGATGGGCGGAGCCAGCAAAAACTGTGCCGTGTAAATAAATTATTGAACACAAAGACGATTTCAACATTTTAAATGGGATTTGTTATATACAAAGACAAAATTTCTGCCAATGAAATAAAGGTCTTTCACATAAATTACAGTGCACATGTATCCCAAAATACGAAATGTTTTACGGAACTCTGCAAATATTCGATCCACCGCATCGAGAAATCAAGTTCTTGACATGAATTCCACAAATAAATATCTTAAAATATCACACCTATTGTATTAGAGCCTTTTAGCAGGATATACCATCTTTGCTCAACTAGAATAAAGTTCAGTTGCACTGCATCCATAGGTGAAGAGTTATTAACACAGCGTTTTTATTCATGCCACAGCTGTCGAATATGTCAAATGATTAACGGGTATCTTTTTTTTTCTTGATTTTCGATTAACACCTGAATTTCCCTTCTTCAACTACGAATTTTTCATCCTTAATATCCAAATGCTTTCTTATGAATTTCATTAACTATCCGTTTTTATATTAGGTTGGAGAGCTGCAATCCGACGTTCTTTCTCATGAACACACACATAAAATGTGCGAATTAAAAAATACTGGCGAGAAGGAGAGAATATCCATGCGACAAAAACTATATTTTTTATTGGTGTAATTAAAAATCATGCTTGAAAATTTGGGACATAACAATTATTGACGTTTTGATTGGCCATGATACAAGCAAGTTATTGAATATTTATTATGGTGTATCCTGATTTATTTGGACGAAGAGACTCGTGCTTCGCACTCGTCACCGCCCTTCGTCCAATAAATCAGGATACACCATACAATAACTATTACTTCCTACTGATGATGTAACGTTTCTGAAATATTTGTTTAAATTCAAAATAAAAAAAAAATATTTCTGTAAAAGTTCTTGTGGTTTTTATTTTATAGGTTTTAATTTTAAATTGGATATGTTCGGAGGTTAGTATTACTGATTGTAAATCCCCACCCCTTGTGTCATGTCCTGCAATTATGGCCTGTGTGAAATTTTTTTTAATTAAAATGAAAGCTGCCGAACTGAGTATAGATTAAAGATTGCTCAAATTAAATCATATTTTCCCTGAAACTAAGATGGGGGTCAAATTGCATATAAGGGTAAATGTTTATTTACAACTTTAAAATCTTTTAAAGAAGAACGGGACAATAATTTGTTAAATCATTGCGAGAGCATCCTTGTATAATATGAACTACAATTTGTTCAATGATGACCCGAGGCGACTGTAATGTAGGCCACGAGAGGTGAAAGCAGTTCCGCAAAAAAAAAAAAAAAAAAAAAAAAAAAAAAACTTTAGGAAATTAACACATACAATCCTCATATATTTACTTAAAAATTGAAATAAAAATATGCATTTTTTTACACTTATAAGGATTAACAATGACCTCAATATGGGATTCACTTATGTAAGAAAAAAATGTATGACTCCTGAACACTGTAGTCCATGGGACTCTTGTCTTAGGTTTATCATAAGATTATGTAAATCAATTTATACACAGATTAGTTTTGCCATGCAGATCACACCTTAATCTTATAATTTATACGCGGGAAAAAATCACGCGTTTTCAATGATTTTTTTTTTTTTTTTTTGTATACAAACTTAAAAAAAAATTCAAACTGAATGAAACTTCTGCAAGCAGACGGTTTTGCGTATAATTACGCGAAAAGAAATAAAGTCCTCGCGAGTGAAATATGATTTACAGCACGTTAAGCTGTATCCTAAAAGAAATACGAACAGGTTAAAGGCATATTACACTTAGAAAAAAATAATAACAGCTAGATTTTTTGGTTATATTGTATACTCGTATACAAATTTTAACAAGAAATGTAACTTTCAGGGTTAGGGTTTAGCAAGATAAAAGGTTACGTTAGATAAAAGTCACTCCAAATCCTGAATTTAATTTACCAAATCAACTTTTTTTAATCACTGAGCTTCCCGGACAGTACAAAGGTACAGGATCATTAATATTTTCTGACTTTATTGTACTGTACTATCATCAAGACTGTCTTGAAGCCAAAATAAATTAAGTTCTCGCATACTATAATGAGAAATAATTCTAATTACAGAAAATAAGCGAAAATTTATAATCATAATGTTGTCTAGTCCCCCCCCCCCCCAAAAAAAAAAAAATCGAAAAATAAATTTGATCCGATTTAGATTTCAGCCAAAGATTCTAACAAAGTAACCACGTTTATATAAATCTGACAGCAGTCAAAATAAATATGATTTGATTTAGAAGCCAGAGATGGTTACAAATCAATCATATTTGACATCAGTCAATGACCGATCCCTCTATCATCTATATGTTCGACAACAAACTGTCGGAATATAAACTAATTACATGCAGATTTCTTACAGAAGACAGAATTCTTTTACTACATTTATTCTTCCGTACTGGGTAGATCATTTGTTTGATATATTAAGTTGCAGGTTTGCTGTATAAACTGAACACACAGACTGGCTACACTAACATTGAGAACTTTACAGTGCCGGTCAAAGTTACATATAATAGACATGTGCGTTGTCCGAGGAAACACCACCCTGTGTTGGTGAATATCCCAGCTCTCCAACTCTTTGGCAAACATGGCCGCCTCCTGCTGAAGATGCCAGTCTTTCTCAGCTGTTATCACGAGAAAGTTCGGGAGATATGACGATATTTTATTCTGAAGATGGGTCATTGGACATGCAGACGACCAATCATCCGGGTTCTTGCCGAAGGTGGGGTGGAGATACAGAGGGCGCACCGCACGAGTGTTGAGCTTCTCCACGTGCAAAACCGCGGAAATCGCCACAACACCCTAGAAAAAGGAAATATATGAAATATAGACAGAGAGAAGGGGATTGCAAAGCTCATGAATGACATTTTAGCAGCAGAAACAAGTCATAATTGCACAAAGAATAAATAAAAGCAACATTTATTTTAAAAATACGTATGTTTTGAGTTTAATACTTAAAAAACCATTTTCAAACAAAGCTCATACATGTAGCCATTAAATTATTGAAGAAGTGGGAAATGGTACCTTGATACTCGAGGATGGGACACCTATGTCCTCCAGTGAAATCGGACGAAGAGCAAGAAGGGAACAAAGATGGCCACCTGCAGAATGCCCAATCAAGTATATAGAATTATAGTCATAGTAATTTGTGTATCTCCCTATTTCATAAATTTTCTTAATACACTTTGACAAAGCAACAATTTGGTCTTCATGTGTGTAATCTTTTGCTTTTAAGTTCATATATAGTAACGCTCCTTGAGCTACTATAAAGCTGGTCACCCATAAAGTCAGGAGGGGGTGTTCGGTTAGCAATGCTGCATACAGAAGATTCAGAAATGTCGCCCAGAGTGCTGCAAGACGGTGGGATTTCAGATAATGTTTAGATCGTTGCACTGATATCACGACAAGTGTGACAAGATTAACTAGGACAAGATGACCCAGAAATATGTCTGACACAGTTAAGCGACCCAATTCACGATGTCTGTAGATCAGATTAACAATACCTACAGGGGTCAAAAAATCTATCACAAATACCGATAAAAACAACACAAAAAATAATACTCCGAGAAATATCACAGTTCCTACGTAGGAAGTCGCAAGCTCCAACAGCAACCACGGAGTTTTCAGTTTAGTGAGGGGGTAAGAAATCACCGCACACGGAACACCCCTCCTTGCGAACTCTTTTCCTACATTCCCGTACAGACCAAAGCACCAGTAAATGAAAGCAGCCAATAGATTAATGTCCAGAAACACAAAATGTTTCCACGTGTCCTTGTCACCACGGCGCCACCCTCCGCCGTGAACAAACACCGCCACGGGTGGTGCAGAATTGTTCCCTAGATCCGCTCCATACTCAGGTAGGTAGAGGTCAAAGAGCGACTTGTGAGACGTTTTATCCGATGTCTCGTATGAAATGTCCTCAAAGATTTGATAATCATCAGTATTCTTTTTCTTTCTACAGTTGATCTTCATATCTGATTGTCATGCATGTATACATTCTGACAGGTAAACTGGATAAACTTTCTGTTTACACTGTGTGTGACCCGTGACTTAATGACGTGGTCGCGTTTATGTAAAAATGTACTTTAACCTGACAATCGTGGAATGGCTCTTTAAACTTACCAAACTTAGCACTCTAGAATTTAACTTTAAAGTAAATGATTTTGCTTTAAATCTACATTACAATATGAAGCAAAGAACAAAAATAATCGAGAGACATGTCATTAATTAATTTTCCGGACAATAAAATCGTTTGGTTTTTTTCCTTGGCAGCTATTAAATATAGCTAAAACATGATAAAATATACCTAGTACCCTAAAGCAGAAGACTGGTGTAAATGTCATTTAAACCGCGGTGTTCTCTTTTTTTCCTGAATTTCTCCAGCAAATTTGGTGATTTCAAACAAACAGGAGCCGGGAGTGGCTGCGTGACCCAGCCCCACAATGGTCAGTCCCGCCACCCTGTGAGTGACCATTATATCCTCCCCGGCCATTCCTACCACAATGTCCGTCAGGGTGCTGTGTCGGAAGCACGTGTATAATTGTCCATGAACTTTGACCTTCATTAGGGAATTATGGCGACCGTAGAAGGTACTTCTGACGCTGTTAAGGTCCTCTTTGGTCACATTAAACCCGCGACTGGACACGATCACGTGACCATGCTGGTCCACTATCGCCGCTTTTTCTACTTTCCCGTTTCTGGTGAGTCTGTATAGAAGGTCAGGCCACGAGTTCGACATGTTCAGAGCTGGAACCATCCAAAACAACCTCTGAAATATCTGCACCACACAGAGGTGTTCACTTACGTGAGCAGAAAATCCTGCAGTGTTTCAACTTGCGATTTGTTTCTATTCAATATTCTTTTCGCTTAAGAACCGTAATAAAGTCACGCAATGAGGCCTACTTATAGATAGAGTGCGATAAAAAGTTTCGACATCTGCAGATTTATCAATGAACAGAAAACCTCTGTTCTGGGGACGTCACGTAACACAGAGTCATCCCTGGGAGTAACCGCGCCATGTAAACCCCATGTAACAGAGAGTCAATCCTGGGTAACAGCGACAACTTCTGGTCACGCAATACACAAGTAACATTGGGTAACAGTGGTTCCCATCCCTGATGTCGATCCCACACGATTCGACACAGACCCGAGGCTTATACCGGGTGTCTGATAGTTATAACGTCCTCAGTTTATTAGGAGATAGACCAATTTTAATAAAACATGGGAACTTCTGGAGATGATAGATATTTGATACCCTGATAACATTGTTACTGTCGAGGGCCCCGTAAAAAGAATGTAATTTGACCTCGGGTTTTTAAACTTTATGTCTGTTTAATATAAATTCTTCTTCATTGCAAAATCTTCTCAGTTTCACTGCCTGCCATTATGGAGTTCGTATTTTATTGCTATACAGCCTTTAAATCGGAAAATTTATATACATGTAGATAAAAAAGTTTTCTATATATACATATAAAAACATAACCGATATATTTTTTCGTGTCTGGAAACAAATCATGTGTATTGGATGAAGATTGTAAACTATCATATACAGGTGATTGATGGGCGTTGTAACTTCTCACCTAGAGATACATACATGTATATATACAGTTCAGCTAATGAGAGAGAGAGAGAGAGCATTGAGTTGGTTTGGTTTGAACATATATTTTATTGTTTGGATGTTAAAACAAAAGGATCGGACACAAGTTCTTTTAAAACTTGGAACGTCCTTTCCTTATAACAATTAATTACTCAAAATAACGTTAAATAAATTAACTACACTGGAACCAAAGGTCGGTGTGGTTATCTACTTATATATACGATGGCCGATATCAGCCTGTCTGAAATAAAATTACATGGCCTATAATTTTGCCTTTTGTACATGTACATTTCTTACATGTACAAAAATTAAAAAGTTACAATTTCGCTAAAAGACAAAATGTACATGTATAATTCTTTAAAATTGTACATGTACAGACAAAAAAATCTATGGCGGTATATTAAAGAACTTCTTGAGTTCAGATCACACCTTCTAAACAGAGAATACGAGGAAACTGAGACTGACCCAATTATTAATGAATCCTTGGCTTTAAACAGAGTCTTAACGTTACATAAAACCAAGAAAACAAAGGAAATACCGAATGTTCCAATAACAAAGTATGACCCAAGAATCAAAGGTCTGAAATCCAAATTATCAAAATACTGGTCATTAGTTTTAAAAGATGAAACATGCAAATAAATCTTTCAAAAAAAAAACTAATGATTGCATATGCTATACATAAAAGTATTGTTGATTTGCTGACAAAAGCTATTTTGCCATATAGAAATTACGGTTTGATCCCTGATGAAGGCGGAACCGTAATATATATTTAATACATCATTACGATATCAAACCGCCGAAACACATTGCTGTCACATAACAATTAATACAGTCAATATAAAAAAAGAAATAAAAAAAGTCGCAGCACTGTGTCGGGTCCTCTAAATTTTGAATGGCTGATGGATGTTGCCTAAATGCACCTGCTATAGATTTTTTTGTCTGTACATGTACAAATTTAAAGAAATGTACATGTACATTTTGTCTTTTTGCGAAATTGTAACTTTTTATATTTTTGTACATGTAAGAAATGACATGTACAAAAGACAAAATTATAGGCCGTGTAATTTTATTTTAGATAGGCTGATATCAGCCATCGTATATATAGGCTATGCATGTACAAAAAAATGATTTAATGTAGTATATGTACAAATGAATGTGAATTTAAAAACGACCAGATCTCTTAATATACAATTGCACATTTGAAAATAATCTTTCATTTTCGAAAATGCTGATCGAATCATTTCCCCATAATAAAACATGAGTGTCTACAATACGTAAATTTATCATTCTATAAATAACATTAAACAGATCGTTTCTTGGGGGAGTGTATTTCGCACATGAAAAAAAGAAATGAGAGAGAGCATGGAATTCTTGAAATATTTGAATTCCGTATGAAATGGACCATGCTCTTTTAAAGATTGCTGTATCTATTAGATACATAGCTGCTCTTTTTCAGAGTAAAACACCTATTTAAAACAACATGTTAGTTAATATACATTTTACAATTAAGTATAATGAGTAAAATTGATTTTCACAAGTAATGGCTTTGCGTTGGTCTTGTATAAAATATTTAAATAGCTTTTTACAGCGTATAGTTTAGTCCGTCAATATTAGGGTGCAGTTTGATATTGGTTCGTGTAAACTGATCAAACCTCATTACGATCTCTTGAGCTAAAGACCCGATATTGATATATATCCATATTCTTTTTTCCATAGACTATACAACTATCTAAAATGGTTCTACACCAATTTGCACATATTTGAAGACATTTGTCTTATTCTTATGCGGTAGTTATTTATCCCAACCACAACCGTGTAGCATCACCTTGACCTTTCACTGACTGACCTTGAATTGCAGTTACATGTAATATAAATTGTAAGTTAAAAATAATCATTTCGTATATATTGAAATATAAATTATTGGCATAAAGTACATGAGCACATGTACTTCCTGTAAAGAATAAAGCATTAAATTATGATAGTGGTTACTGTAGAGTGTAATTTTTGCGATCCACCACAATCACTGAATATCTACAATACACGCCTTGGTGCGGTTGTATTACAGGTGACGCTTCGTGACAAAGACCCGACACGCTCGCTATTCATTCTGGGGTACCTGTTATTGTTTTAAGTGTATAGATAGGTTTATCAGTTGACTGAGTCTATACTTTATATGTGTCAATTACCCAACACGACTTTGTTCCCTCGTGTGAGGAACTGAGCTAGTCCTAGCAACCAGGCTCTCCTTTCCCCGTGTTGAGTTCTCTGAAGCGGACAAGGGGAGAGATGTAAGCTGAACACTTTACACCGTCATTTTAAATGAACAAAGCTTGGTCTATAATCGATTAAATCTCCAGAACAATGTATAAATAGTTAGCGGGGAGAGAGTGGATTATCGGATTAGCGGAGGCCGTGGATACCATGGATAGATCAGGATTATCCAGTAGGGGGACAGAAACGACGAGACATAGAAGTAAGTATACATGTATATATCTACATCACGTCACTCACCTGTCTTACCTATATCATCTCTCACCTGTGTCTATCTATATCTATCCTCCTTTATTTATTCAGACTTGAGTGTGAAATTATGTGACGGAATTATGTAAGGAAGTATTGTTTTCAGTTATATGTCTCCGAATTTTATTATTGTCGATTAGAATTGAGTTCTGTAGCATTGAAAACATATCGAGAATTATGAATTTCAATATATGTGTTTTCATTCTAATGAACATAAAGGTCCTAGCATCAACATAATCAAATAGATTTCAGGTGATAACCTTACTGCATACCCTGAATCCTATCAATTTTTTCTGAAGCTTTTTTAAATTGTAACCATTCAGTAAACGAAGGGGCGGGTTTATTTACGAATTCTGATCTTGTATTTATTCGACAAGAATATTCCAGATACGACCAACAATGTATTTGTTTGGGGAATTATTGCAATTAATTAAAAATGATTAACATAATCAAATGTTTACACACAGTAAAAAAAAAAAGTTTTCGAAACTTTAAATGTGCGGAATTTAACTCCTAAATGGGTTGTCAGCCGCAGAGCATTCACCATTCGGTGTTAAATGTTCAATAGATTCCAGTGGTGTCTCAGAACGTCTAGTTGTTTAACTAGCATTGTCCTCGTCTGTATATATACAACATCGTGTTTAATAATTTATTACTGTGTATGAGTGCTGTATATTTGAATATTGAGAATACTTCACGGATGGCTTTTTTATTGTAAATGATCAATGACTTTTTTGGCAATCATGAACAATTTCGATTTGACAAAATTCTTTATTCTAACGTGGAAATTATTTTTTTCTGTTTCAAGACAAAATTCCGCCACAATTAAAAGTTCGTGAAAGGACCACAGCATGAACATAACATTAATTCAAAAGTAATATATATGAGATGTGATCGGAAAAGTAAATGAGGAATCGATACGGAATTAATGCGGAAATAACAAAAGAACAAAATCAAATCTGAAAATAGTATCTAGTGTAAAATTTTCAAAAAAAATGAGCAAAAGTAATTCAAGGCACAATCCTAACTGACCGTGCCGTAAGCTAAATTAAAGTAGTGTATATTCAGTATTTAAGAATCAATCCAGGAGGGAAAGATAATAATCAAGCAATACGACAGATTAATTACTACTTGAAATTTCTGATAAAGAAATAAATATTTCAAATTTATTTTCAAAGTGCTCAAATCAGGTTTCAAAGTGCTCAAATCAAGTTTCAAAGTATAATAATCAATTTTTGATCCTTTAATCAAATTTTAAAGTACTGAACTAAACTTATCGTCAATAAATGGTTCAACTGAAAATTTGACGATTTTATAATGTATGGATCAGAAAGCTTATTGAATTGAATTGATTTTTTTAGTTAAGTTTCAAAATCTCAAGACATTACATAAAAGATTGAAGTAATCTCTTTATGACTATTCTCGACTCTCCGTGTAGAAGTGGTTGTTACCGGGAATGTCACTAGTCACTTCATCACATCAGAGCAGGCTTTTTTTACCTCCTTATGTTAAAGACATTTTCATATTTCACAAAGTGACATTTATTTCAAGTTTTACCTTTTCAAACGACCGAAAACCTTTCTGTCTGGCTCCGAGGCGATAAAAAAAATAAACAATCTGTACATTATAGCGAGATTAACCTTAAATAGAAACCCAACAAAAACAATGCATTAACTGTTGAACTAACAAAAATAACTGAGGGATAGAATTTATTAGAAGGTGGAAACGGTAAACAGACAAAAGAATCCGTTTTTCTATAGCTATTTTGACATTTACATGTATAATGTTTTGTGCACGTCCAAAATTACACAAAATTTCATTTATGATATTGCATATTTTACGTTACTTTTTCAGCTAAGATGAAAATATAAATATACATAGGACATTTTGAAAAGTCAAGAACGTTTTAATAAAAAAAAAAAATATGAATATCTGTTGTATTTTATGTTGAATTCTTGAACTGACATGCAAATAAAGTTTGCGAACAGTTAAAAGAAGGACATGCGAACAGTTAAAGAAGGACATGTTCCCTAAATCAGGCACAATAATTTTGGTTTTGATTTATGATACACAAGTGAACAAACTCCGACACAAGTTGTTTAAATATCTCAGACCTAATTCGTATTAAATCTTTCTGATTCCGAGCAAACAAAGAGTCCTATAAATACGTCGTAATCCTTCAGCCCCGAACACAAATATTATTCAACCAGGATTACTCCTCTACCGCGCCGTAATCCAAAAGCACTCCAAACTGCGCAGCCAATCACCGAGGTTGATATGAGTAAAGCAATTTCCATTTGAACAACAGTAACATTGCCAAATACCCATGAACTTGTAATTATTGGCCACTTAGAATTTTCTTCACTCTGTCTTTACAGGTGCACAAGACAACATGTCAACGTCCCAGCAGCCGACAGTAGCTTCGGTAAGCTCCGGACTATTTAAGCGACCAATCAAAACAGCGCTGCATCAGGCGGTTCTCGACTGCCGTCTGCATCAGGTCAGGCTACTGGTCGCAAAACACAACGTCAATGTGGATTGCAAAGACTTACACGGGCGGACGCCCATGATGCTGGCCTGTATGATCGAAGAGGAATTCGGATACAAGATGGCAAAGATTTTTTTGAATGCTGGAGCTTTTTTAAATTTGAGAGACGCTCTGGGAAGAACCGCTTTAAGTTATGCTTGTATGAATGGACGTGCATCTATAGTTGGATTGATACTGAAGGAAGATGTACTAGACATCAATGAAGCCGATAATGATGGAAACACACCGCTACATCATGCTGCCTGCAGCGGAAATCCATCCATAGTGGAAATGCTTGTCGACTGCTTTGTGAAGTTCGGACTCGACGTAGATACAAGAAATAGTCTTGGATACACTGCCCTTCTTCTGGCGCTAAAGAAAGGACATTTTGTGTCTGCTCATTTACTTCTGAAGAAAGGAAACGCATCGCCGACCTTACGTGACAATGAAATATTTCTTAATGCTAGTGAATGGGCTCAGAGGGGAGGAAGTGAATCGTCCTCGAAGTATACACCTCGTCGGACCCTTCCTTCCCTCCCAGCCAGCGCCACCACACTTTCATTTTCCCGGGAGTCCACCATGTACCAACCACCGACCACCCAGCCATGTAACCATGGCAGAAAACATAACGATCAGTTGCCCTGGTCCGCGCAGTCTCTTAGATTCCCCAACATACAGACATCGCAGGAATTCGAAAGAAGTGAAACATTTGTTAACGGGATGGATGCGAGACAATTAGTTTTAGATGAAATCGATGACTTTGATTCAGTACAACGCCCTACATCGTACAAGAAAGGTCGAATTCCCCACCCATCCACGGCTAAACTTATTGCCCTCTCCCGACGCGCTAAACCTGCCATTATTCCGGACATGACGACTATATTCCGAATTTACTCTGATCAGTACCAACCAGAGTGGATGAAAAAGCCAGCGTTATCGAAAAGTATTTTGACATTGTCTACTACATCTTCAAAATCAAACTCTGAGTCAACCATTGTTGATGCATGTACCTGAACATTGAAAGACCATTATAATTGAATGTTGTGAATTTCTGTTAGAAACTGATTAACATGCTGTTGTATCTTTCTCCTTGTAAATGGAAGCAAGATGCATGAATATTTGACATACAATATGTATGCTTCGGTCTTACATTTTTGGTAGCTACAATCCGCAGTATTAATTAATAGTCATATGAGTGCTAAATGTTTTATTTGTTTACTTGACAAACTATGATTTACATTCAGTCTTTCATTTGTTAAGCATTAGTATAATGCTTATTTGCCGAGTGTATTGTCCATATTCAAAGTAAATAAATCCATGTGAACAATCCATGTTTTTGTAAGTGTAATGGACACCGAACTCTAAAGAACAATTAAATCTCTTCGGTCACCACTCAATCCAGGGCCTGGAACAATAAACCTCATTGTAATCAGCTAATTCCCTCTCTGGCAGAACATCAAGAGCTCTGGGTGGATGGTTTGCACACGTTAAGTCTGGATTCCAAAGATTCTCTCTCTAAATTTTTACCTGAAGAGAAATTTTGTTTATATCAAGTGAAAGTTGCATACAATACTTTACAGCAAACAAACTTATCCGTTGTCAGAGAGAAACAGAAACAGTTTCAAACCAACCGTGACGGTGACGATGGCGCGTAACAATGTCATATGAAGATGGGGCTTTTCATCCTCAAACCTATTTAATCGTCACGGTATTAGGGTACAAGTGAAACCAATTCTGATACAGTAAGCAATCATTTATAAGCATTACATGTACTCTTAAACCGAAAGAAGTCCATTGCTCTATTTTAGTCCATGAGCTCGTTAACTTTACGTCAGTGATACTCTCACTCGCGCACGTGTGCGTAGTAAGCCTAATTTTAATTGTAAGATAATACTGGGAAATGCCTTCGAACAAATAGCATTAAATCACTTCAAAAGTTTACTTTGCGTTTCTTTCCCCCTTCAGTATATTATCCTTCATCTTCCTGTCACTATTGCCTCCATGTTATTCTGTGATTAACTGATTTCTCCTTTATGAGTGTTTACAATTTTGTAATGATCCTTTCTATTCAGCACTAAAAATCCTGTAGTTCTTCCTTGCATAATTCTATAAAATTGAGTATCCATCCCTTTACATTCTTAAAATCCTTCATGGACTGCCTACTACCCTGTAACTATCCTTTATTATTGTTAAAATCCTTGATACTGAATATAACCTATCATTGGGTCGTATTTTGGCTGACTTGTTTCATACTAATTGTTAGGCCTTTGTTTTATACTACGGAATGTTCCGTCTACTTAATCAATACATAGGGTTTACGGTCGGGTGTGACTGGTAAACAGGGGATGCTTATTCCTCTTAGGTAGCTGATCCCACCTCTGGAAGTTTCCGGGGGGGGGGGGGGGGGTCTGTGTTTATGCCCTTTCACAGATTTGTATTGTTTGCAGATTTTTTGAGACCGATCATTGTTCGCTATCTTCGTCTTTTTCATTGTATGACTTAACACAATCCTGTAACTACCCCTACATATTGTAACAGCAATCCTGTAACTATCCCTACATATTGTAACAGCAATCCTGTAACTATCCCTACATATTGTAACAGCAATCCTGTAACTACCCCTACATATTGTAACAGCAATCCTGTAACTACCCCTACATATTGTAACAGCAATCCTGTAACTATCCCTACATATTGTAACAGCAATCCTGTAACTACCCCTACATATTGTAACAGCAATCCTGTAACTATCCCTACATATTGTAACAGCAATCCTGTAACTATCCCTACATATTGTAACAGCAATCCTGTAACTATCCCTACATATTGTAACAGCAATCCTGTAACTACCCCTACATATTGTAACAGCAATCCTTTATTATTATACCTAAATATTTTCATGTTACTTTTTTCTAAACATATTATATTTTAAATCTTCGAATTCCATTTGCCTAAGACTAGAATTATGCTCTGTAATCGGTTAAAAGATGTCAATCCATTAGGGCTGTATCAATATATCGATATATAAGAATGTATCATATCGAACAAAACTTCCAATACGTATCGGACAGGCAGATTTTCTCATAATTCTGTGAAAAATTTGGGTATTTCAATCACCAAAGATTATATTTTCACTGTTTTTAATTAAAATTGATCAATAATGATATAATCATTCAGGAGATAGCACACCTTACATAAATATTACAAAATACTAGACAACTTTATTTCAGCATGTTGTTTTACCATTAAAAAATAAATTTGAAGTGTAATTTGTAGAGACAGTGAGACAAGACCTTAGAAATGGGTTATAAAACAATTAGCTTTTATAAAATTTATGCACCAAGTAATTTATAAGACTTTTGTGATAGACTTCTTAAAGAATCCAATATATTATATATAGCATCATACAATATTGAATCGTATCGAATTTTTTTGCTCAATACACAGCCCTACAATCCATCTATATTTCTGTTGATAGCAAGTAAAAAAAAAGGAATGATTGCAACATGGCGAATACAAAGATATCACCCCATGTTTACAAAAAATATTATGTACTAGCATTAATTTTTGTTTTAAAGAAACCAACATATTTAAGCGTTACCTATTTTGCTATGCTGCGAAAAATCTCTTTTACATAATCACAAATTCTTTATGATTCTATGAAATTTAGTAATAATCATTATTAACTCACAACATTACTTCCTGTCACTATCTCTTTATGTTCTTACAACTGTACAAAACTCATCATTTCTTAGGACTATAGAATTCATAGTTTAAGTTTTTAAAAGTTGCATTTCCTCTCTATACACTGTATTCCAACAACCATTCAATTTATTTAAGACTCTAAAATCCTGAAAATACCCACTTTAAATCTTACAACTCTTGTTGAGTATAAATAATCAAAAAATCATTCCATATTCTCTACAAATTTTGCATGGTTATATACGGTTTGGTGTATGAATAGTTTTACAGTTGTGCATTTCATAAATACCGGGTTCTATGTTACATTATATATGTTTTAATAAAGGTAAAAGGATAGTTACTGAGAGGTATGGACTTATCAAGGATATGATAAAGTAAAATGACAGTTATTGGGTTCTACAGGATCATCAAAATATAATAAAAATAGTGGTTTAAAATAGGTCTCTCAAAACTGCTCATATTTATACTTTCGTGTCACCTCCAGAGCTGATCGACACTTTAGGATCACTTTACCCGGAGTCTGTCTGTGTGTCCGTCTGTCACACCTTATACATGTATCTCAAGAGCAGTAAAAGAAGTGGATTTCATATTTTGCACATATATTGCTTGGCACTATAATTTTTTTTACAGATAGCATGGTTACCGACCTTGTGACCCTTGAACTTGACCTTTGATCTACTTTCAGAATAGTATTGTTTACATGTATGCCGATATACAGCATACTTTTGACATTTAAGGTGATTCGAACTTGTCATGAAAGTAATTGGAAAATTAAAAGATAGGTACCCTCAGATAGAGGAAAAGTTTGTGGTGTAGGAATCAACAAATTTGATACAGGCTTATGCGTTCGTTTCCATGGCAACAACCTCTGAATCTGCCCTTGTTTAAAAATGTAAAAGCTGTGAAAAAATCCCATTGTCATTAAAGAAAATAACAAAAAACTCACAAATTATAATCAGAATTAATTTTCTTGGAAATATATAATAGGGTAGCAAATCTACTTCATATTGTCATTCTTTACACATAGATATTACATTCAAACAGCACTCTACGGCAGTCTGAATTTCCTCTGTCTTCTTAAAAATTGTCCATTTTTTCTTAACCTTGACAACAAAAACGGTTATAAAATCGCACTAAGAGTAATTTGTTATTTATTTTTTTAACTCCATTTAAAAAAAAGAGATTTATAGCAAAGTAACAAAGGGGAATAATTGGTATGTTCATGAATCAGATAAAAAGATATACTAATCCGAATTTTCTCTGGCTTTTCTTTTTAAATTACCTGGAAACAGTATGTATCACCTAACATAGTGATAATACTATCCCTTAACTTTTAATTTGTCTATGTATAACCTGTTATGTTGCTGACACTATCCCCTTACTTTCAGCCTATCCATGATTAACCTATGGATGCTGACGCTATCCCCTTATTTTAAATTATCCATTAATTACATTGCATGGAGCTGAAACTATTCTCTTTTTTTTCATACTATCCATATTTGGCCTAGTAGTTTGCAATCATTATCCCTTCAACTGTAACTAACCCTTTCTTACAAGTGACATTCTGTCAATGTTTTACATTAGGTTATTGCTTGTATATGTAAGAATTGACTTTATTTTGGCATTAGGAGTTATTGGTTATTTCATTCAAGTTCTATTGGTCACTGACTTGTACTCTAGTCTATGTGACTATATTTACGCTCTATTGTACTCTAGTCTATGTGACTATATTTACACTCTATTGTACTCTAGTCTATGTGACTATATTTACGCTCTATTGTACTCTAGTCTATGTGACTATATTTACGCTCTATTGGTCACTGACTTGTACTCTAGTCTATGTGACTATATTTACGCTCTATTGTCACTGAGTTGTACTCTAGTCTATGTTACTATATTTACACTCTATTGGTCACTGAGTTGTACTCTAGTCTAGGTTACTATATTTACGCTCTATTGGTCACTGAGTTGTACTCTAGTCTATGTTACTATATTTACGCTCTATTGGTCACTGACTTGTACTCTAGTCTATGTTACTATATTTACGCTCTATTGGTCACTGGCTTGTACTCTTGTCTATGTTACTATATTTACGCTCTATTGGTCACTGACTTGTACTCTAGTCTATGTTACTATATTTACGCATATTGGTCACTGACTTGTACTCTAGTCTATGTTACTATATTTACTCTCTATTGGTCACTGACTTGTACTCTAGTCTATGTTACTATATTTATGCTCTATTGGTCACTGTGTTGTACTCTAGTCTCTGTTACTATATTTACACTCTATTGGTCACTGACTTGTACTCTAGTCTATGTTACTATATTTACGCTCTATTGGTCACTGACTTGTACTCTAGTCTATGTTACTATATTTACGCTCTATTGGTCACTGGCTTGTACTCTAGTCTATGTTACTATATTTACGCTCTATTGGTCACTGACTTGTACTCTAGTCTATGTTACTATATTTACGCATATTGGTCACTGACTTGTACTCTAGTCTATGTTACTATATTAAATCTCTCTTGGTCACTGACTTGTACTCTAGTCTATGTTACTATATTTATGCTCTATTGGTCACTGTGTTGTACTCTAGAATATGTTACTATATTTACACTCTATTGGTCACTGACTTGTACTCTAGTCTATGTTACTATATTTACGCTCTATTGGTCACTGACTTGTACTCTAGTCTATGTTACTATATTTACGCTCTATTGGTCACTGACTTGTACTCTAGTGTATGTTACTATATTAAGCTTCAGATACTTGTCAAACTTGTTTGATTAGGTTGGCCAATTATTTTTTCTGGGTGTTGGCTGGCATTCTTCAGAAGAGGTTTGGAAAGTGTATTGAATAGTTTATTAGAAAACCCTATTAAACGTGTAGGTGACCAAATTTTATAAGCTATTGTTTTGGGGACTTTGTGTCACATGGTGAAATGACAGGGTGGATTGTCTTGGACCTGGTAGGATGTGATGTGCCATGGACGACATCATTACATATAGAGGTAGGGCGAAATCATTAGTGATGACTTCCTTGTGGACTTTATTGGTTGTGTGTATATATTGCAAATACGTAGATAAATGTATTGTTAATTTTTACAAATCTGGTTGTTTCTTGCTAAACAGTCATCAAAAATAATGTTTGTTTGGGTTGTAAATATGTAATTCAAAGAAACCATCACAACTAGAGATCAGTTGTGAAACTCTTTGTGTTTTCCCATCCGTGATTGATTTGGTACAATATCATGAAGTAGCCACAGTTTACCTATTAAAACAATTCTGTTGATTCTTTTGGTGTCATCCTCCCAGTTGTTGGTAAAAAATGAATCGTACAACTCGTGAACAGCCTGGACAACCATTCGTCTTTCATCACCGGCCACAGATATTAAACCCTACAACAAAGAAATAAAATCGGACATATATCGGAATGATTACAACTCATGAACGGCATGAAAAATAAATCACCTATTATCACCAAATACTGATATTAAACATGCTAATCCCTACAACAAAGGATCAAAATGGTACATACATTGGTAGTTGCTTTTCTACAAAACATTCTATATCACATCTCCATATGAGTGAAAAATTCTCAAACCGGACATAAAACAACATTCAATCTGTCAGTCAAAACATTCTATACATGTACTTTTGTACAGTCCATTTCATTTGTTTTAGCTTTTTTTTATCTATTGACTGGTGATCTAATGCTTTCATGTGATCAATTTATAGATTGATGATGTCATCTTAATTTCAGTAGTATTGTGAAGTCATCAGACAAAAGCCATAGCTTTCATAACAAGAGGCCCAAGGGCCTTAACGGTCACCTGAGTACAACAATTTAGAGGATCCATAAACTGATAAACGAAGCTTTGTTGCCCAATAGCAAGGAAAATAGTACAATTAAGATCATAATAGATGTCTCTATTATTACCTCTCACATTGGCCTCACTTGGCCTTTGAAGAACATTTAAAAAGATAAGTTATTTTTGTTTCACTTTTATTCATCTATTATTTCCAAGTCTACCTGATTATTAAAACTATGAAAGTACTTTTTGCATTATACAATAAATGTTCTTGCATAATTTTCTTATTCTATTAATCTTTCAAATACATTATCTACAGTGATTAATTATCAAAGGTGAATGGCAAAGGTGAATAACTTCACTCAGTAGAATACAAATTAATAGAGCCCTGGCAAGGACCAGAACACTTGACTAAATGGTCCAGATGTTCAAAATTCTGGTAAAAATACCTTGCTTATTAAAACTTTTACTCTGTTTGCTTCTAATATGCCCAGGAGGAGAGGAGATTTTCAAAGAAATAATGCATTTCCACTATTTAACACAGCCCTACCCTAACACCAGAACCCATGACCTAGGGTCATGAAAATTTACAAATTTGGAAGAGGTACCCTCATCATCATAACTATGCCATTTGTTGAAGATTTTCAAAGAATTCACACATTTTCACAATATAATCAAAAAGAGCCCCCCCCCCCCCCCCCCCCGAGAAACAACAGAACCCCTGGGACCACAAGTTTTAAAAATTTTGTAAAAGCATCCTTGCTCATCATAACTATACACTTGTTTCTTTGCTTTATAACCAGGAGTAGAAAAAAATATTTTGAAAGAAATTATGAATTTTCACTATATAATCAATAGAGTCCCCCCCCCAACACCAGAACCCCTGACCCAGGGGCCATGAAATTCACAATTTTGGAACAGGCTGCTATGCTCATCATAACTATGTACTTAGTTAGTTTATTTAATACCCAGGAGCAGAGAAGAAGATTTTCAAAGAAATTATGCATTTTCACTATATAATCAATAGAGCCCTGCCCTAACGCCCAAACCCCTGACCCAGGGGCCATGAAATTCACAATTTTGGAAGAGGCAGCCATGCTCATTACAACTACATACTTAGTTAGTTTATTTCATACCCAGGAGCAGAGAAGAAGATTTTCAAAGAAATAATGCATTTTCACTATATAATCAATAGAACCCTCCCCCCTCCTAACACCAGAACCCCTGACCCAGGGGCCATGAAATTCACAATTTTGGAAGAAGCAGCCATGCTCAAAATAAATATATACTCAGTTATTATATTTCATACCCAGGAGCAGAGAAGAAGTCATTTTCAAAGATTTAATGCATTTTCACTATATAATCAATAGAGCCCCCCACCCCCTAACACCAGAACCCCTGACCCAGGGACCATGAATTTCACAATTTTGGAAGAGGCTGCCATGCTCATCATAACTATGTACTTAGTTAGTTTATTTAATACCCAGGAGCAGAGAAGAAGATTTTCAAAGAAATTATGCATTTTCACTATATAATCAATAGAGCCCCGCCCTAACACCCAAACCCCTGACCCAGGGGCCATGAAATTCACAATTTTGGAAGAGGCAGACAAGCTCATCATAACTATGTACTCAGTAAGTATATTTCATACCCAGGAGCAGAGAAGATTTTCAAAGATTTAATGCATTTTCACTATATAATCAATAGAGCCCCCCCCCCCAACACCAGAACCCCTGACCCAGGGGCTATGAAATTCACAATTTTGGAAGAGGCAGTCTTGCTCAACATAACTATGTACTTAGTTAGTTTATTTAATACCCAGGAGCAGAGAAGAATATTTTCAAAGAAATAATGCACTTTCACTATATGATGTATATAGCCCCACCCTAGCACCACAAACCCTGACCCTGGGGCCATGAATTTCACAATTTTGGTAGAGGGCTCATTGCTTATTACAATCATGCCAACAGTTTGACTGCTTGATGTCCAGGAGTAAAGAAGAAGATTTTTAAAGATTGCATTAATTTTGGTGGTTTTAGCCCCACCCCTCAGGCTCCAGGGGGGCAGGGACCATGAAATTCACAATTTTTGTTCCCCTTCACCCATAGGTGCTATATGCCAAAATTGGTTGAAATTGGTTGAGTGGTTTCAGAGAAGAAGCTAAAAATGTTCAAATGTTAACGCACAATGAACGACGAACGCCGACGGACAAAAATGGATAGTAATAGGTCACCTGAGTGACTCAGGTGACCTAAAAATGGGTAAATCAATATGAAACTTTTACATAATCCGTGAGTCAAAAATATGAAGAAACATACCAAAATCAACTCATTACGCAAACACAGCCAAAAAAAAGCCCATGGGCCATAATGCTCACCTGAGTCAATACGGCCCTGCTGTTCATCAGCAGATTTTTTTCTATCATATATTCCTATGTACAACTTTTATCCCTATTTTGACCCCCCCCCTAGCCCCCTATCCCCAGGGTTCATGATTTAAATAAACCTGAATCTACACTATCTGAAGATGCTTCCATATCAGTATGACTAATGATAACTTTGCTATACTTGAGAAGAATATTTTTGAAGATTTTTTCCTACATATTCCAATGTAAAACTTTAATCCCCCATTGTGGACCCACCGGGAGTTATGATTCGAACAAACTTGAATCTACACTATCTGAGGATGCTTCCATATGACTAATCATGGCTTTGCTGTTCTTGAGAGGAAGATTTTTGAAGATTTTCCCTATATTTTCCTATGTAAAACTTTGATCCCAAATTGTGGCATTACTGTACCCCCGGGGGTCATGATTTAAATAAACCTGAATCTACACTACCTACTGCTTCCAAATCAATTTGACTAAACATGGCTTTGCTGTTCTTGAGAAGATTTTTTTCCTATATAATCCTATGTAAAAATTTGATCACCCATTGTGGCCCAAACCTACCCCCAGGGTCAAGATTTGAACAAACTTGAATCTACACTACCTGAGAATGCTTCCATATTAATATGACTTATCATGACCTTGCTAAACTTGAGAAGAAGATTTTTGAAGATTTTTTTCCTATATCTTCCTATGTAACACTTTGATCCCCCATTGTAGCCCACCTTATCTCGGGGGTCATGATTTGATCAAGCTTGAATCTACACTACCCGAGGATGTTTCCATATTAATTTGACTAATAATGGCTTTGCTGTTCTTGAGAAGATTTTTGAAGATTTTTCCCTATATTTTCTTAATATGTAAAACTTTGATCCCCCATTGTGGCCCCACCCTACCCCCAGGGGGTCATGATTTGAACAAGACACCCAAGGGCCTTGAATCGCTCTTCTGATAAACTGTACAACCTATCACTTCTATCTGAAGCCTCTAAGTATCCTATATATTTAGATAAAGCCTTGAAATTCAAATTCACATTCTGAGAACCCAAGATGATTCTAAGCCAACTAGTACCTGAGAGTTGGTCAGGTGACCTACTTATCACTTGTCGTTCTCTGAGGACCCATTAACTAAGTTTGATGATTCTAAGCCAATTAGTACCTAAAAATATTTTTTAAAATTATAACCATAAAATTTTATAAGTAGGTCACGGTGAACTACTTTTCAGTTGTACTCCAAGGACCCAAGATGCATCAACTGAAAAAAAATTTGATGATCCAAGCCAATTAGTACCAAAAACATTTAATTAATGCCATAAATTTTCAAAAGTAGGTCATGGTAACCTACTTTTCAGTCAACCTACTCCGAGGACCAAAGATGCATCAACTGACAAAGTTTGATGATTCTAAGCAAATTTATACCTGAAATATTTCAATAAAGCCATAAATTTTCAAAAGTAGGTCACGGTGACCTACTTTTCAGTCGACCTACTCTGAAGACCCACGATGCATCAACTGACAAAGTTTGGTGATTCTTAGCCAATTAGTACCTGAAATATTTCATTAAAGCCATAAATTTTCAAAAGTAGGTCACGGTGACCTACTTTTCAGTCGACCTACTCCGAAGACCCACGATGCATCAACTGAAAAAGTCTGATGATTCTAAGCCAATTAGTACCTGAAATATTTAATTAAAGCCATAAATTTTCAAAAGTAGGTCAGGGTGACCTATTTTTCAGTCGACCTACTCCAAAGACCCAAGATGCATCAACTGACAAAGTTTGATGATTCTAAGCCAATTAGTACCTGAAATATTTAATTAAAGCCATAAATTTTCAAAAGTAGGTCACGGTGACCTATTTTTCAGTCGACATTTTTCGAGGACACAAGATGCATCAACTTACAAAGTTTTATGATCATAGGCTTTAAAATGTCAAAATTATGCCTCTAAAATGCTTTGAAATCGAATGCCTGCAAAGTTCAAAAAGTATGTCACTGTGACCTACTTTTTAATAAATGTTTTATGGCCCCAAGATGCATAATCTTACAAGATTTAATGATTCTAAACCTCTCGGTATTCGAATTAATGACTTTAATTGTTTTGAAAAAGATTAGCCATAAAGTTCAAAAAGTAGGTCAAGGTGACCTACTTTTTAGTTGACATACTTTGAGGACCCAAGATACATCAACTGACAAAGTTTGATGATCATAGGCCTTAAATTGTTCAAAATATGCCTCTAAATCATTTTGAAAAAGAATGGCCGCAAAATTTAAGAAGTAGGTCACCGTGACCTACTTTTGAGTCAACATGATATGAGGTCCTTAGATGCATCAACTGACAAGATTTGATGATCCTAGTCCTTATGGACTTTTGCGAGAAGCGCTGACTTTTACAATCGACGGCTTACTTTTACACTAGGAAAGTATATGGAAGCTCTTTTGCGATATAAATATTAAGCTTAACAGTTAATTAAATGATAATAATGGGCCACTTCAAAGCACATATTACGTTGTCTAGGAAGGGAACGGAAACCACCATATCCTCAACCCCCTCCCTTCTCACATTGACCAACTCTTGCTTAGTTTTCATTCCGGAATGTTTTTTCTTCCTTATTTGACTCCTTCAGAAAATAAAATTGAAAGGAGGTACTAACCCTCACAAATAAGGTAATTTAAGATATGTAATTCTGCCTCCCATCATCTCTTGCATTGATTGCATACCAGTTAATCATGTTAGTGCCCCAAGCAAAATACCTCTAACCACTATTAATGTTTTTTTTTATCTATTATCAATTATGTACCTTCGTAGAAAAGGCAGGTTTAAATGTCAAAGTAAGCCGTCGACTGTAAAAGTCAGTGCTTCTCGCAAAAGTCCTATAGTAAGCAAAATATCAACATTTTAATAAAATGTAATTTTTGGTCAACTTTGAAGTGATCTTAAGACCAGGCCCTTTGCCCCAGGGTAAATCCCCATGCACATTTTAATCTACAACATATCCTCATCCTTTTGTGTAAGTTTGGTGATAATCTGCCCAGTGGTTCTTGAGAAGAATATTTTTTAGCAACCAGTACTTTTGTTTCTATTTTTCTAATTATCTCCCCTTGTTAAAGGGTCAAAAACCTAGTTTTAGTGTAAAAGGGAGCCCTTGGGCCAAGGATACCCTGTGACAAATTTGACAATAATTGGCCAAGGGGTTCTTGAGTTATGGCCCATATTCTAAAACGTTTATGCACACCACACACTGCACAAATGGCCATAGCATTAGCTCTTTGAGCCTTTGGCTCAGAAGAGCTAAAAATTCAAATCTACACTATGTAAAGAAGGTTTCATAAGTTTCAACTTTTTTTGTTAGTGGTTCTTGAAAGAGAGTGTGACCCTTTATTTGAATGAACTTGAATCCCCTCCACCCAAGGATACTTTTGGCCAAGTTTGGTTGAAATGGGCCCAATGGTTCTAGAGAAGAATTCAAAAATGTGAAAAGTTTACAGACGGACGACGGAGAAAATATGATCAGAAAAGCTCACTTGACCTTTCAGCTCAGGTGAGCTAAAAAAAAAAAAGAGCCCCAAGGGACAAAAGGTTAAGCCCTTAGTTAAACAACCTTAAATCTGCACTATAATAATGAAGCTTTCACATAAGTTTCAATTCTTCTGGCCCACTGGCTCTTCAGAAGAAATTTTTCAAAGAAGTTTTACTCTTTGTTCCTATGTAAAACTTTAATCTCCTATTTTGACCAAACCCTAACCTCTTTCCTGATTTGAACAAGCTTGAATCTACACAAGTCATGTCAAGAAGCTTTCAAATAATTTTTATCTTTTCTGGCCCAGTCTTGAAAAGAAGAATTTTAAATAACCCCTCCCTAAATTTGCCTATTCTTGACTATCTCCCCTAGTAATTGGGCGTGGTCATTCATTTGAACAAATTTGAATCCCTTCACCAAAGAATAATTTGTGCAAAGTTTCATCGAAATTAGTTCATTGGTTCTGGAGAAAAAGATGTGAAAAGTGTGAAAAGTTATCAATGACAATGACAGCCACCAACAAACAATCAACATTTTTCTAATCAGAAAAGCTCACTTAATTGAGCCTTTGCATTTGGCTCAGGTGAGCTAAAGAATTATTAGAATCTGTCAAAGGTTAAGGAACATCATTTTTGTAAAAATGGGTCAAAATTCTGGAATCTAAATCTTGATCCAAACTGTCATCAATATCAAGAGACATACCAAAAATCAAATCATTAACTAAAAGCATGCCCCCCCCCCCATAAGTTGGGAAAACAATCACTCATGTCTAATTAAGGGCCATGACTTTCGTGAAAAGAGGCCAATCAACATGAAATTTGATCTACATGTATACCTTTAAGTCCTCATTAAGAAGATGCATATGAAAAATCAAATTCATTATTTACAAGAATAGCAAAAAATGTCCACATAACTTAAATATGCTATGATTGAATGACAGTGACCAAGAGAGAGAGAGAGAAAGAGTATGATGGATGGAAAGAGGTAACACTATAAGCAGAGCTCCAGATAAGGTGCGTATTTGCAGAAATATGCATTGAATTTTTCAAAATACGCATTAGAAACTAAATCGGGGCGTACAATTAAGCATTAGCAATCATAAATAAGCATTACACTACGAAGTACTGCGTACGAATGATGCAAGTACGATTTAATTAATTATGTGAATTGAGGTCAGCTCAGTGTTTCAATTTTTATCGAAAGGATTTTTTTTTTGCTTTCCACATGCTCCTGTGCTATAAATAGCACCACGCGACTTTTAATGCAAACGGGTAGTAACTCTAAAACTATTACCTCGATTGATGCCAATATAGCAAAACCTAATACATGTATATATTTTTGATTAAAAAAAAGAACAACGGGTGGGACATTTGAGAGGGGCAGGTGGGGATGAGAATCTAAAGATTAATTTTATCTGGCCAGGGTTAGAAACTCCCTAGAATTACAACTCGCAAATAATTGCGAGTACCAAGAAAGTGAACTCGCAATTTTATAAGACTACTCGCAATTTTCATATAAAGTTACATTTATATAAATCAAATACATGTAACTTAAGGAAAAAGTAACTACTGTACAATACATAAAATACATCTACAGTGTGACTTTTAGTTAAAGTACTGATTTAAATCAAAAGCATTGTGTTCTGTCATGTTATATAATTTTGTTACAGTTTCAATGCAAAAAAATCAACTCGCAAGTTTTTGCGAGTTACCTAATTTTTAACTCGCAATTTGGGAATTCTAACTCGCGTTTTGCGAGTTGTATATAGTGAATTTCGAACCCTGCACTGGCCAAAGGAAGGATATTTTTCTCGGTAAACTCTTGCTATGATCGATATAGGCCTAATTTTAAATGGAGTTCTGTGTGCCCGTGGTAACTTAAATCTGGTGAAAGAAACGAAATGTTTCTCGGCTTTAGCTAAAAGCTGACAATTTTTAAAAAAATTTCATTAACCTAATTGATTAATGCAGAAAATGTCCGTTTTTTACATTCCTCTTTCAAAAACACTTATTTTGATAACAAGCTAAAAATCACATTAGATGTCAAAAAAGCAAAGATTAACAAAATACTCATTGATTATTTTGCTGAAAAGCAAAATCTGCATTGATTTGAAAATCAGGGAGTAAATACACTTTGAGGTAAAAAATTATCTGGAGCTCTGTATAAGCCCTGGCCATTTCATGGTAGGGGCATAAAAAAGTATAAGGTTTTAAAGCAATGTATCTATCCTGAGTCTTCATAACAGAAGATCGACCTTTTGCACCGCACACAAGACCCTGATAAAAATACTTCACTGGCTATGTAGTCAAGATTACGGCATCTTAAGCATTGTGTCACATTATATTTTAATTAAATCCTAATAAATTATTTTTGGATATTCTATAAACATATCTATGAGTCTTTTACCATAACACAAGTAAAGTTTTGGACTGAAGAGAAGAGATTATCTACAAGAATTAACCCAGTATAATGATTCACTCAACCTGTCTTTTTTTCAAAATTTGCTGTTTTCAATATTCACAGCCTGTTGTAGACCACATTTTTTTCCATTGATTTATAATTCAGTTTTGTTCGCTGATTAGGATTTCTATTCCATAATAGAAATGTGAAAGACATTATTAGGCAGTACTACTATAAAATGAAAGTAGATGAAGTGGGATTTTTCTATGCTATTTTTAGCACCTGAAACTTTTCAGACCTTACCTGCGAAAAATGGACTCCATTACAAGTTCACAAATGTAAGTTTAAATGAGAGTAATATATTATTCTAAAAGGCTTTTACTACTTTATAATCTGAATCAGTACATTTTGTTGATTGTATTTTTTAAAAACTATATAAAACAATCTTACAAGTTTCCTCCACTTATAATTAATTCTTTGCAAAAAATAACAGAGAGTTGGTTTAAAACAAATGTTACCTGTAAAAATTCTTTTAATCAAAAACTGTGAATATATATTGAAAATGTTTAAGTATTATTAAAAAAAATGATGATATTTTCTACTGATTTATTAAACTGGCATAAAGTATGATTTATCCTTTAATCAAAACCAGTGAGACAGTCATACAACATATATCAGAGTCAGTGTTTGTGGGACTGTGTCATGAAGTGGGGACCTCACAACTGGTGGCCATGAGGAGAGATGTGATGGACACTAGTGAGATGATGAGAAATCAAGTGAAAATAAGTGATGAGAACAGAGTGATGTTGAGTGGAAGTCAAAGAGAAGGATTCAGACTGAAAGGATCAGATATGGACTTGATGTTCTGGTCAAATAATCACCGTGTGATCTGGGAATTATCTCAGTCTCAGTATTACAACACACACAGACAAACACTGATCCTCTGTGACTGTTCTGATAGTCCACCAGGATTCACTTTGTTATATTTACTGTCACCTAGCATGTACAAAGATATTCAGAGATATTGTGTTAGAATGTATAACAGACATTATATTTCTAGTTCTAAATACAGAGAGATCACATGTTCTACATTATCACTAACCAATTCCACTCCACATGGACCCTGTGCAACTGGAACAGTTAGAACTCTAGAATATGATCAAGCCTACTGCTTTTTTAGTGACTTTTGGCCTCCATCTGCCTCCTCATGGATAGACAGATGTCACTCATGGCCCCAACCTCATATTGTTGATGATATAGTCAAAAATGGATGTCACTTTGTAGCAATTGGACACAAGCTAGGAAGTCATGAAAACCATGAATGGAGAATTTCTTTCTCTCTGGCAGAACAAAAACTTGTGTGTGCAATGAACCACTGTCAATTCTTAACTTACGGCTTACTTAAATTGTTCTTAACAGAAATAATTAATAATGGACTAGATGACGATGATAAATTACTGTGTTCTTATCACATGAAGACAGCGGTTTTCTGGGTGATTCAACAAAACGCAATACCTCACTGGTGTCCACAAAATCTCCTGGGGGGTTTCTGGGTCTGTTTTAAACTCATCCTCAAATGGGTGTATGAGGGGGTCTGTCCTAACTTTTTCATTCCAGATAACAACATGTTTCTGAGTAAAATTCATGGTGAAGCACAACATCAATTATTTGTTAGATTGTATGGGTTGTATGAGAAGGGTTTAGCATTCCTGCTACACAGTTCCTCCATTAGGTCTTATATCATAAATGTCCTTTATAATCCCAGACTCTCCATCTGTACAGACGAACATACTCTGATTTCTGAGACCAAGTTTGATGCAAACCTATTTGAAGAAATGTGGAGGGAAAATGCACTTTCCACCCTAGATCTATTAAGCTGTATGAGCTATCTACATATCATAGATCAGATGATATGTTCACCCCTTTTGACACAGTATCAAATCCTAATGCTACAGAAACTTACAGCTAATGTCCTTCATGCAACTGCTTTTATAATAAACATGGAAATGTACACACACAAAAACAAACTGATTTATAGAGTTGACAAAATCTCCTGTTACATGCTGAAATTAGCAGCCAAGTTTGGTTATATTACTGACATGCTGTACATAGCCATGTATTATTACAAGACACTTAGATACATGGAAGCTTTATCTATTATAGAGGTGATCAAGGTCAAGTTAGCACAACCATATGTGATGTATAGGTATAATGTAAATACAGAGATGTATACTGATGCTGTAGGGGGACAGTTCTGGTCAACAAAGATGAGACAGGCTGTATCAGGGGATATCATACTTTACACTAGAATCCATTACATCAGTGAATTGATACCAGAACAACAGTCTGCTCTACAGAATGGCTGGCCTGGATTACATGTCCCACCTTTTACACTGTTATATATGCTAGAGATCTTGTGCTACAGACATGTAGACACAATGGGAGCACAAACAGCTCCAGATGATCTACAGACATTACTTCACATTGATCAGGGACAACTTATACCTTTACCATACAGAGACATATCATGGCAGATTCTGGGGATCTGTCAACAGGTGACAGGGAACCTACAGGATGCTCTATACTCATACCAACAATCTCTCAAACAAGACCGATTCAACAAAATATACACAGCTACAGAAATGAGAATACATGAAATTTGTTAACAAAAATGCAAAATTCTTTGGTATATCTTGTAGAGATAAAAAAAACCCAGTTCTTCTACTTTTTGTGAAGAAGAAGAGGAAACAATTTATCATTTAATTTGGGACTGTATGTTTGTCCAGCAATTGTTAAAAAATTTATAGTCTTTGTTAAGCAAAAGACATTGAATTGAATTTAAATGCTAAATCTTTTATTTTTGGTGAAAAAGATAATAATGAATTTTCAGAATATTTTAACACTATGTTGATATTAATGAAGCATTATAAAGTTCGTTGCCAGAATACTTGTCCATCTATCCAAGGTTTTTTTAATCTATTTAAATCCTATTTTACAGCTCTGAAATACACTGTAAAAGATGATAAAAAACTTACTGCTTATAATACTTTCTGGCAGAAATGGGTTATTATATTTTAATTTATTGATTTTCTTTTTTTGGCAATCACTTTAATATGTTACAAGTGAATCCCTCAAAACTGCACTGTTCTAGCTTTTCTAACTCTCTCTCTTTTTATCCTTTTTCTTTTTCTTTCTCAATAGCCAGCTTAAATGAAACTGAGTATGTTCAAGACAAAATGTAAAGTTAGAGCTTGCCTCTCTGTCTCTTCTCTCTCTCTCTCTTAATAAACTTTTACACTGATTCTGAATAAGTTTCAACTAAAATTAGTTTCTATTCGGAATCTGTTTTGTACATATATCTAGTACATACAAGTTTGTATATGTATTTGTAATATGTTTCAAAAAAAAATCAGTTCTTTGCTAAACTGTATGTTTTGTATTGACCAGTTCTTGAAAATTGAATGTCCATTGTAATTAGAATTTATCAAGCACTTGGTTTCTCCCTTACAATGAACCAGTTCCTGACAATATACAGATTCCTACCTTAAGTCTGTAGATTTCCTGTTTTTCTCCTTTAGAATTGATGAGGTCTCTGTCCCACAGTATGTCCTGTAGTACTTTATCTAACTTCTGTTTGTCCACATCCCCAGTGAACTCCAATGTAAAGGTCGTCACATTCTAAAACAATAGGCAAAAAAGTAACATTGATTTTCTATAATTTTAATTTTATGCAGTGTCTTATAAATAAATTACAGTAATTTGAAAGATTACGAGAAGTATGATTGAAATTTTTATAATGCACTATTGGGCGTTCCATCTGTATGTAAAACTTGCTTGATTTAATGATTTATGAGACAATCAAACGTAAAGTCCTAACTATTTAATTACTTAGGACATCTTGAAATTATATTGACTAATTTTATTGTCTATATATATGTAATATTGGAACTACCGTGTATACTTGCTTATAAGTCGGTCTGCCTATAAGTTGTTGCATTTTTTTAAGGTTATTTTGGAGAGATTTGCCATTGACCTGCTTGTAAGTTGGTACTGCTTTTTACCAGAATCAGTTGACAATTTCAAAACAATGCTCTGATGTTTTAACATGGTTTCAATTAAGATTTTTTTTAAAAATGACACCGATATTTGATTTTAAATTATTAAACAGGTAAGTAAAACACACTTAATAAAATTATCAAATTTTGTACATACTTGTACTTTATGTATAATCTTAGAATGATATATTATATCAAGACTTTGTTATACCATAATCGTTGGAAATGTTTATAAAATACTACATTTTTGCATCCAGAAAATCCCATTTTTTATGACTTGCCTATAAGTCGGACACAAAGTTTTGAACCAAAATTTAATTCCCAAAAAACCAACTAATAGGCGAGTATATACAATATATTTATACTGTTTACATCATTATTATATATAGATTACTCACCTGGTCAATCCTGTGTTCCCTGTCTTTGTTGTAGTCACCTGTATGTATAATCATACTGTTTACATCATCAGTATATATAGACGACTCACCTGATCAATCCTGTGTTCCCTGTCTTTGTTGAATCCTCTCTCCTGGAACAACTCCTCCAAACTAAATCAAGATCCAAAGAATTAAAAATCTATCATACTCATCAAAAATAAAGATTATATACAGACTTTATATTGAACTAATTAATAAGCCTCACCCAGTTTTACTCCTGCCATCATAAGCATTCAGATCCAGAATGGTGTCCAAGTCTGTCCTGTAATAAAGAGAGAGTGTTGTAATGGTACACCATCAAATCACTGAAAAATCAGACTTAGTCAGAAAAAGTATACAGCTGACACTGTGGAGTAGGCTTGTATGCATTACATGTAGAATGGAGCTGACTGTGTTGTAGATATTACCTTGCCTGTGTTGTCTCTTTTAATTTTGCTAGACTATTTATCGATCTGTAAAAAAAGAAAATTATTTAAACTATGTTCTAATCAGTTAAGAAAATTTCTACAGCGTCTTTTTTCAAGTTTTTAATTCCATGAACTCTATTTTCTTGGAATATTTAGAATTTGATATGTGTTTATTTATTACCTGTTTGTGATGTGTCTCTAACCTTATATGGGACTTAACTCTCTGTAATTCCTCAGAATTTACCAGATCAATCTTATTTATTATAATCACATTTGCTAGCGCCACCTGTCTGTGATGTGTTTCTTACCTTATATGGGACTTGACTCTCTGTAACTACTCAGAATTTACCAGATCAATCTTATTTATTATAATGACATCCGCTAGCGCCACCTGACTGTGATGTGTTTCATACCTTATATGGGACTTAACTCTCTGTAACTCCTCAGAATTTACCAGATCAATCTTATTTATTATAATCACATCTGCTAGCGCCACCTGTCTGTGATGTGTTTCTTACCTTATATGGGACTTAACTCTCTGTAACTCCTCAGAATTTACCAGATCAATCTTATTTATTATAATCACATCTGCTAGCGCCACCTGTCTGTGATGTGTTTCTTACCTTATATGGGACTTAACTCTCTGTAACTCCTCAGAATTTACCAGATCAATCTTATTTATTATAATCACATCTGCTAGCACCACCTGTCTTTGATGTATTTCTTACCTTATAAGAGACTTAACTCTGTAACTCCTCAGAATTTACCAGATCAATCTTATTTATTATAATCAGATCTGCTAGCGCCAGCTGTCTTTGATGTATTTCTTACCTTATATGGGACTTAACTCTGTAACTCCTCAGAATTTACCAGATCAATCTTATTTATTATTATTAATCACATCTGCTAGCGCCACCTGTCTGTGATGTGTTTCTAACCTTATATGGGACTTAACTCTCTGTAACTCCTCAGAATTTACCAGATCAATCTTATTTATTATAATGACATCTGCTAGCGCCACTTGTCTTTGATGTATTTTTTACCTTATATGGGACTTAATTAACTCTCTGTAACTCCTCAGAATTTACCAGATCAATCTTATATATTATAATCACATCTGCTAGTGCCACCTGCCTGTGATGTGTTTCTAACTTTATATGGGCCTTGACTCTCTGTAACTACTCAGAATTTACCAGATCTGTCTTATTTATTATAATCACATTTGCTAGCGCCACCTGTCTGTGATGTGTTTCTAACCTTATATGGGACTTAACTCTCTGTAACTCCTCAGAATTTACCAGATCTGTCTTATTTATTATAATCACATCCGCTAGCACCACCTGTCTGTGGTGTGTTTCTAACTTTATATGGGACTTAACTCTCTGTAACTACTCAGAATTTACCAGATCAATCTTATTTATTATAATGACATCTGCTAGCGCCACCTGTCTGTGATGTGTTTCTAACTTTATATGGGACTTAACTCTCTGTAACTACTCAGAATTTACCAGGTCTGTCTTATTTATTATAATCACATCTGCTAGCGCCACCTGTCTGTGTATGTTTCTTACCTTATATGGGACTTAACTCTCTGTAACTCCTCAGAATTTACCAGATCAATCTTATTTATTATAACCACATCTGCTAGCGCCACCTGTCTGTTGGAAGAAAAGGATAAGTTTTCAATATGCTTGATTTTTTTTTTCTTGGGAACAAATTTTCAGAACTGGAATCTCCAAGAATAGTGAAAAATTAATTGTGATATCAATACTTTGTTATATCAAAATAAAATATACATGTATATTACAAGTGACTTGTACTTCAGTGAAAAAGGATATCACATGTACCGCAATCTTAATTATAACCAATTCTTCAATGTTTATGAAAACACATTAATTGCTGTATAATTACCTTGTGGCCTCATTTGTAGAACCATCTTGCTTAACTTCTTGTAGGTGCTGAAATAAGACAGAAAAAAATGTATAAATTGACACATGAACTATTAATCATTATAGCTACTTGTGATTTAATATGACTGAGTATTTCCTTATAAGCTTGTTCTCAATTTAAAAAAAATATGCTGTATTTATGTTTATTTGTGTTACTATAAAACTGAATGTAAATAAGTAAAAATAAATGTAGATTAAAACATGGTTTGAATGTCTAGTAGAACTACAAATATCTCCATAAGACATGAATGTCCTGCCCAGGGTTCATAATTAATTGTATTAGTGTATGAAGTTTGATGAAAATACCTTAAATAGTTTCTTTAAAACTGATTTTTATACACAATCTATAGTAAATTCAAAGGTCATTGGGTATGTTAGGGTCAAAGAACTGGCACAGTTGATGAATTCTCACCAAATAATGTACAAGTGCATAGGCTTATAAAAATCTCTTGAATTATTTTTTTGAATCTGAGCTAAAGGCAAAATTAAGAAAAAAATAATTAGGTTAAGATTTTTATGCAGTTCATTAGCACTAAATAAATGTATCAGCAAATAATGTTTGATAAAAATGTCTGGATTTGTTTCTTTAAACTAAGCTAAACACAAATTTGAGAAAAGTGAAGTCAAGGTCAAAGAAAGAGACAAATTCTAAATGTTCATGTATTTCAATAGCTTTCATCAATATAATGTATAAGAATATGAAATTTGGTAAAATATCTTGAATAGTTTCCTTGAAACTTAGCTTAAAGAAAGTTAGGTTAAGTTTAAAGGAAAATTCAATGCCAAAAAATGCTGCTGAAGTTGAATAGCTATCTCCAATATGTATCAGCATACAGGGTTTGATAAAAACATCTTACATAGTTTCTTTGAAACTTTGCTAAACATAAATTAAGGAAAAGTGAGGTCAAGGTTAAAGCAATGGTCAAAGTAAACAAATGATCTTCTTCAGTTGAATAACTCTTATTGTACCAGCAGATGAATTTTGATAAAAAAAATCTCGAAACTTAGCATAACACAAATTTAAGTAAGGTGAGGTCACGGTCAAAGGCAAGGACAAAAGATGACGATGAAGATGAATAACTTTCTCCACTACATTTATGTATCAGCATATAAGATTCAATAAAAATAACTTGGACAGTTTCTTTGAAACTGTGCTTAACATAATTTTTTGACAAGTGATGTCAGGGTCAAAGGAAGGTCAAGGTCAAAAATGTTGATGCAGTTGAATATATAGCTCTCATTGATATGCATCAACAAGTAAAGTTATAATAAAACATCTTGAACAGTTTCTTTGATTTACACACCTGTATACAATGATTTACACACCTGTATACAATGATTTACACACCTGTATACAATGATATACACACCTGTATACAATGATTTACATACCTGTATACAATGATATACACACCTGTATACAATGATTAACCCTCCTGTATACAATGATTGACACACCTGTACACAATGATTAACCCTCCTGTATACAATGATTTACACACCTGTATACAATGATTAACCCTCCTGTATACAATGATTGACACACCTGTATACAATGATTTACACACCTGTATACAATGATTTACACACCTGTATACAATGATTTACACACCTGTATACAATGATTAACCCACCTGTATACAATGATTTACTCACCTGTATACAAGGATTTACACACCTGTATACAATGATTAACCCACCTGTATACAATGATTAACCCACCTGTATACAATGATTTACCCACCTTCATACAATGTTTAGCATCCACCATAGTGATGACACCTGCCAAAACGATAAGTCTATATACAGATTTAAAGCAGACTTCACAAAATGTAAATATTCTATAAAATCAAATTTCAGTCTTCATTAAAGAAGAAGAGCAAGTCCACCATGCATTGGACACATAACTTTCTTTGGACAATTCTCAGTGAATTTGAATCAAATCTGAATGTGTCCATGTTGGCTTGTTTTACAGCTGAAGATTTCGACTCTTTATTGATGCCAGTTGTTATTATCGTTTTGTGATTAAAAAAAAACAACAAGAGAATACACGGTGTAGTACCTAAACGGTTGCTATCAGAACAAAAAAACGTTCATTGTTTCTATTCGTAAATTTTACGGCTACTAGATGAAATAAATATGTCGGAAAAACTTGGAACAAGAGGTAAATTTGTCAGAAAGTGACCCCAAATCGATTAAGTCTCAGAAAAATCCTTGTGCACGGAACAAGTAAGGGATTTCTTTAAATGATGCCAGATGTATTTTGTAGAACAATCTTCTAAAACTTTAAATATAGTAAAATATCCGAAGCATGTACCCATTCGCAAGTCAATATACTCCAAGTTTCCATGCCTTTTTTCATCAAAAGTGTATTTTGAAAGAGATTTTTGGACAAAACACAATCTTTTTAAGTTACGGTCACTATCAGAAATGTTGGTAAGTAGGCACCGGCTATAAACTGAATATAATGCACCGGCTGCTATTTGAAATATAATTTGTTTCTCAATCAAGAAAGAGAAAATTAAAAATCTTATGGCTGCCACAGGCATAGAAAATATATTTAAAATATCCAAAGAGCATATGGAACACAATGTCTACATGTACAATTGATATTTATCAACTTAACTCGAATTTGTTGTGTTCTGCCAAGTAGAGCTGATCTTCGAAAAACATCACTACACAAAATCAAAAAGAAAGCCATACAAAGGAAACGTAAGTTTAAATTAAATGAAAGAACTTTACCATCAGTACTTCAAAAGCTTTGGAAAGCTTTCGAAAACTATTTCTTTTTAAATTTTTGTAACCTATATGTATACTTAGACCTAAATAATATCTAGTAAAATTTCAGTATAACCTTTGACGGTAGTGCTTTGGTACGCTGTTGCATCAGGAAATACAATTGACATGCATTATTCAAACCATCGGATCTTGAGTGGAGAGGATGTCCGATTCCCCCTTTTGGATGATTTTCTGGATTATTAAATTTATGCAGATAGAAGAGACAATCAACCCCTCCCGGGGGGGGGGGGGGTGGGGGGGGGGGCTCGAAAGAAGGTTTTTCAGATGGAGAAGACTGAGCTACTTGTTTGCTTTTCAGTTTTCTTATATTTACTTCTATTTCTCTCTCTCTGTCTCTTTTGAGTGGGCTTGGAACCCCCCCTCTTAAAAAAGGTGGAGATCTGAACATGAAAAAGGATAATACCGGTATTCTATCCAGTAAGTAATGTATAATTATGTACATTTAAAGGAGAGGGCATTACAATTATTTACAGACATATGTAGTCTTTTTCGAAATAGAAAAGGGGGGGTTATTTGTGTGCAATTCCACTTTCGTATTTTCAATACATGTACAATCATATTTTTTGGACATTAGGAGTGTTTGACCATAATGTACTCGTACATCAAAAATTGAATTTGAAAAAAGTAGTTTGTTGAACTGGATGTATAATATAGTAGCATCTATAATAAGGTCTGTTATTCGAGTGAGCCGCTCACTTGGACGAAACTTGTAAGGATGGTGTATCTAGGGTTGCCTTGCTTATACATAGGATCCGATGCTGCTGATCTGATCTTCAATTTTTGAAAAGTGTTTGGAACAAGTCCATTCTAAAAAAATTATATTACCACAACTCATTGGATAAAAGTTTATATCCAACCAAAAAAAAAAAATAAAAATAAAATAACAAAACAAAAAACATGAGCGATCCTTTATTTGTGAATCTGGCGTAATTACGCAGGTGAAATCTAATAAATTAGATAGAAGGTGCACATAATTTAAAGACTAACAATTTTATTGTGTGCAGGATACATAGTAAATGTACAGGGCATTTACAAACACTGCTATTATTATTAGTCATACCATACATATAGATATTGAAATAAACCAATTTATCGTTATAGGATCGAAATCAAGGTAATATAAACAAGTCAGTTATTAAAAAGAATATAGTATGAACATTTCAAATATAGTTTTCTAAACTATTGCATAATAGATGTAAATTAAGGATGTTATTAAAGAAAAATTGAAAACTTAAGACATTTCCAATAAAAACCGGTGACGTTGTCTAATAGTAGCCGTAACATAAGTTTCTCCGCATGAAAACGCTTTTGTTTTTAAGAAACAGATTGAAATGGGTAATTCTATGAAATAATCAATACGTTTTACAAAAGTACACCTATCGATTCATTTTCATCAAATATCTAAACATTTTGACGCAAATTAAATATATGTCTTATGTGCATGTATGTGTGTCCGAGAATTACGACAGTTTTCGTTCTATACACCAACAATCCTTTTATTCATAAAAAAAATAGAGATACATGTTAGTTTTAAACGGTATGTTACGTTCCGTAAGGGTGAAATAATAAGAAGCTAAACTTTGATAATTGAATTATTGACTATTTTGTTGAGCCAGCGAAGAAAAAATACTTACCATTTCGTCCATTTTTTTCCAATAGCAACCGCACAATTTTCAGATAGCAGTAATATACGCGCATTTTTTCTGATAGCAACCATTTAGGTACTACACCGTGGAATAGCCTTGAAGTGATATCAAAATTACAATATTGCAATTTTTTGAGTTGACTTTCTTTCATTATACAAGGGAACAACCCTGTCCTGATGTTAATTTTATTTTTAAAAAAATCCAAGAAATTTCATTTCAAAGTTTGTATTAATTTTCTTGAAGTTATTTTTTATTTACTAGTATGTTCATGTCATCATCCAATGCATGATAATTACTTCCTTTTTTGTAAACAGGTACATGTGCAATACACGACTGATTGCTTTTTCTCTCTCTTTTTTTAGAAATAAAAATATATAAACTCAAGGTATTCAGTGAAATACGAGTTATCAATATATGACAACTAGAAGTAGGTGCTCATTATTTCTTAAAACTAGAAGATACCCCCAGACCAAGGCACAAGTTGTCTTATTTTGTGGCATGGCAAGGCCTATCTAAGGCTTTGTGATACAACTAAAATCTCTCTAACATTTATGGATTAATATAATCAATCAAATTAAACATGTTAAAATAGGGAAAGCATAAAAATATTATCATGGCTCTAATTTATAAGCATTTTAGGTGTTTTAAATCCCACCAGATAGATAGGACATTTTTGCAATTCAATATACCATTTGTCCAATGCATGGCGAACTCTTGTTCATTCTTTATAATTTATATTCATAATTTATAATTATATATTTTTATTACATAATACATGTTAAGCTCCATTTTGATAGTATTTGGTCAGTAGGAACTTGTTCAAGTAAGAGGGTGTCGACTCAAGCTGAACTCACCCCTAAGAAGTAAATCTACATCTCCTTCTGTCAAATAATTTTTGAACAAATATATAAGACACTATAGTACATCTACTTACCATCTAAAAATATCTCACTACACAATTCTTCATCTAACCAAAATATGGATGCTATAGGGCCTGAAGAACAGAAAATATACTTTAAAAAGAAAATAAGTGGCATTATGGTTGTGTTTCAGATCTTTATTCAAGAAAAAGAATTATAGAAAGTTCTTGATGGTTTTAATTGGGACTTACCAGGATCTGCCAATCCAGTGGTCTCCAAAAGAACATAGTCAAAGCGCCCTCTTTTGGTCATCAAGTTCTCTATGGCCTTCACTCCATTGTCCCTGGAAAATATTATAGACCCAAAAATTAAGACTTAATATACATTATCATGTATGTCAAACAAGATCAATGAATAAATTCAGAATAAAGATATTAAATGAATCTTCAGAACAACTAACTAAATTTACTGGACCATTTTATTTCAAATGTCAGTTGACCATATTCCACAGCATTGAAGATATCTATATTCAATCCACAATATCCTCTTAACTATTTTCATATTGCACTTCTGTATAGTATAGAGGTTTTAATCAGCTAGCTGGTATTAATGACTGATCATGACAATTCCAGGAGTTTATAAGTCTCTGTGTTATAACTCACTTGACAGAGCAGCACAGACACCCGTTCCTGAGTTCAAGCCATTCTTCATACAGTTCCCCCTCCTGTCCTACAGACATCGACTTCTCTATTGAATCCCCTTATAACAGACACAAACTTAAGATAAATAAATAAATTAACAGAATTAGAGATTTTGTGTATTACTGTATTGATCACAACATAAGAGAATTTTATGCAAAATGACTGTTAAGAATTAAAATACATGAAATGGAAATTTATAACCTTTTTTCATTAGCTTAAGTAAAATTTCACTGTACACATGTATGTTATCCAGGCTACCCCGTACCTTCCCCAAACTCATTCATGATAACTGCGATCCTCTTCCCATGCTGCTCTGTCAGGACGTAATTCAGTAGTGTAGTTTTACCAGCCCCTAAAAATTAAAAAAAAAGTGGGATCTCTTTATATAGTAATTCTGACATACATGTTTACATGACACAATTGGACAAATGAGCAATCTTATAAGAGATTGTCATGTATATATTATATACTGCTCCTGCTTACCGATTTATTTTTATCTTTCAAGGAGGGATAAAAATCCAGTGATGATGGTGATGGTGACCCTCTATAACACTTGTACGGAAATCTGAAGGCGCTACCTTAGAATGCTGTGATAGGGACTATGTACAATGTTTTTCATGGGGAGGGTAGGTGATTACCTGGGTATCCTTTCATGGGGGAATATTAGGGATGTGCGATTTTATCGGTATACCGGTATATCGCGATTTTTTGTTGCGTGATACGTATCGTGATACGGAGACTAAAATACCGGTATTTAGTACACAACTATGAATTCCGGAAATTATTCATTTATTTGTTCAAACTATTGAATGACAATTACAGGAAGTGTAAAAAATATATTGAAAACAATTAAACAATTTCATCCAAACATGCTTTATATTAAATAAATAAAAAATTCAAAAGTAAAGTTATGTTTTTATAGCATATTTTAAAGAAATATTATGAGTATTTATTTGAAATTGTAGTAAAAATTGTGTGTAAAAATATCACGATTTATCGTGATATTTTTGGGGGAAAATCGTGATATATCACGATACAAAATTTTTGGCGATACCCATCCCTAGGGACTATATAAATTTTTTATGGGGTTGGGTAGATATTTACCTATAAATTCCGTGATGGGGACAATATATAATATTTTTGATGGGGAGGCAGGATGGGTGATTACTTGAGAATTGTGTGATGGGGATTATGTGAAATGTTTGTGACAGGGTGGGTGGTCGGGTGATTACCTTGTTATTGTGTGATGGGGACTATGTACAATGTTTTTCATGAGGAGGGAGGGTGGGTGATTACATGAGAATTGTGTGATGGGGATGATGTTAAATGTTTTTGACAAGGAGGGAGGGTGCTTGATTATCTAGGAATCCTGTGATGATGGTAATGGGGGCTATCTATAATGTATTTGATGGAAAGTTGGTATCAATATATACATATATGAATCCTTCGATAGTTGGTGATGGTAAATGCTACCTTCTTGTGATTTGGAAGGTTGGATGGAAATGTATGAGTTGATCACCTGGTAAATCTCTACAGTGTGGAGAGATGGAATGAGGATATGATTTATTAATAGGAATTCTTTTGTGACAATGATATGTATTTTCTACATTGGGCCATCTTTAAAAAATTGTTTGGTTGCCCTCTCCCGACTGACTGGCTAAAAATGGGCTGATTCAAAACTTTTTTTAACCTCCGGAAAGCAATTATTTTTTTATGCATTCCTGAAAATATATTTTGAAAATTCAGCATTGATGTTGAAATTTTCTAGGAAAAAAAATTCCACACCTCCTACCGACACATTTTTTTCATCCTGAGTCGGGAGAGGGCAAGCAAACATTATTTTAAAGTTGGTCTTGTTGATTTAACTTTTGGAAGATTATCCACAAGGGCAGGTAACAAACTATATTTGGTTTTACATAATCACTATATATACAAAAAAGAAATTGTATATATAGTGTCAGATTACTTAATCAAATACATGTATAGTATGTTACTGTCCCCTGTGTGTTACCTAAGAATCCTGTGATGATGGTGATAGGAAAAACAAGTCCATGTGCCATAACGCTCACTTGAGTCAATATGGCCCTGCTGTTCTTCGTCTCTTATATATCCTATGTAAAATTTGATTCCCTGTAGTCACCCCAGACCCCACCTACCCCCAGGTGTCCTGATTTGAACAAACTTGAATCTACACTATCTGGGGATAATTCCATATTCATATGACTAATCATGGCTTTGCTGCCCTTGATAAGGAGATTTTTAAAGATGTGTCCCCACCCTACCCCAGGGGGATCATGATATGAAATTTGAATCTACATTACCTGCAGATGCTTTGATATACATATTTGTTATATGAATATTACTTATCATGGCTTTGCCGTTCTTTTGAAGAAGATTTTTAAAGACTTTTTCCCATATATTCCTATATTAAACTTTGATCCCCCATTGTAGCCCCACCCTACCCCCAGGGGTTCAATATCAACAAATTTGAATCTACACTACCTAAGGATGTTTTCATATCAATATGACTAATCATGGCTTTGCTTCTCTTGAGAAGAAGAGTTTTGAAGATGTCTCCCATATATTCCTATGTAAAACTTTGATACCCCATTGTGGCCCAACCCTACCCCAAGAGGTCATGATTTGAACAAAATTGTATCTACACTATGTAATGAAGGTTTCATATAAGTTAAAACTTTTCAAGCCCAGTGGTTCTTGTGAGGTAGATTTTTAAACATGTTAAAAGATGCCACCAAATTTTCATTAATTCTTAATTATCTCCCCTTGAAAGAGGGTGTGGTCCTTCATTTCAACAAATCTGAATCCCATTCACCAAATGATGCTTTGTGGCAAGTTTGGTTGAAATTGACCCAGTGGTTCTTGAGAAGAGTTGAAAATGTGAAAAGTTTACAGACGGATGTCGGACAAAATGTGATCAGAAAAACTCACTTGAGCTCTCATCTCGGGTAAGCTAAAAACGCTGTAGGGACCCTCTCCCGCATGGGTGGGACCTGAGATTTCTATGGTTTTTTAGAGGGGGGGGGGATGAATGTGTGATTACCTAAGAATCCTGTGATGATGGTGATGGGTACCCTCTCTAGTGTGGCAGGGACCAAGTCTGGGATTTCTTCCTCCTCGTCTGACATTCTGTCTTCAAACTGGCAGTAAGAAAGAAGTAAAATAAATAAATAAATGAAGGAAAACCCCCAAATTTTGCATTAAAAATATGTAACAGTCATCCATCAATCAACTTTTTTTTAATTTTTAAACTTCACACAAACACAGTGACAATTATATTGCTAATAATGATGTCACCATCCAATCTGATTAAAATCAGATCTTTGTTACGCTCCAAAATTCTGATACTGATCAGCTGCCGATGGCGACTGTCAGAATTTCGGAGAGTGACAAAGACCTGATTTTATAATCAGATTGGTCAACATCGTGTTGACTACTGAAATAGGCGAATCAAACAAAAGGTTTTTTTTTAAATCACCAGTAAAAAAAAACTAACTGTAATAAAATTAACTTTCTTCTGAACTTTGAAGAGCTTCTAACTTGTATGCGTCTCATTCAACGTCCATGAACACTACATCATGCTGAATTTGTAAACAAATTTAGAGTTATCTTTCTTGGAATGTTGTTCTCTAAAAACCAAATCAACAACGGTATGTCCAAATCCGCATTGTTTGCTGCAATGTAATGGAGATTTATCATATTTTTGTTATCACAGGCACTTGGGGTATGGACACCCCCCTTTTCCATTTTTTTTCTTTTTAAATCTGGCGTCGAGTCACCTTTTCCCTATTTTTGTATTCTAATATGTACAATATGTTATCAATAATGTAATTCGTTTGTCTCTATCAACAAAATTTACCCTAGATGCGAGTGTTTACAAATCGGGGGCACATAAAAATTAAATGGAAATATAAAAGGGAAGAAAAATGTGTAACAAATTTATTGATGTATGCATATTCCATGTGTTCAATGCTGTAGATAAATAATCAGACGAAGTTTGAGCGAGGTGAGGCAGACGACGAGAAAAGAGTTGCAAGCCTTCTCTCTTTTTATGTATCAGTCGAAAACGGTATATTTAAAAACAGCATATAGAGACAAACGAGTTACATTATTGATAACATATAGTGCATATTAGAATACAAAAATAGGGAAAAGGTGACTCGACGCCAGATTTAAAAAGAAAAAAAATGGAAAAGGGGGGTCCATACCCCAAGTGCCTGTGTCTTTTCCTACGCCTCCTCATTAAAATATTTCTCAGAAATATGCAATTTCCACATCACTGCTTTCTATATTTCGTTTTTAAATTATCTTAGATTTAGATATTGGCCAAGGTGGAACAGAATAAAATATTTATTTAACCAATGTGGGCAGACCCACAGTGGAACAGCAGAGTGTACAAAGAACGAAAGATGAAAGACAGATTTACAAGTATGATGTATATTTCTGGTATTATTGTAATAACTTATAGGCCAATTTATGAATCTAAAAAATACATGAATTAATGGGATGGACATTTGAACTAATCACATAATTTTGAGAAAATTTAGGCGCATTATATAGTTTGTTAATTGCAGGTGGAAGGGGGGGGGGGGGGGCTTAGAACGTATGGAGATATGCACGATATCCAACACCAGTGCCTGTAAAGTGCCATTCTCTCGGGATATTGTTTGTATATAATTACAAAAATGTCATTCTACAAAATACAATGATAAAAAATACTGAGTTTAAGTTTAGTACTGACTGATTAACCTTGTTATAAAAGTATAGTTCGAGCCGTCAGAAAAATTGTGTAGAATCTGATACATGTATAAGATCATTGGCCTAGTCATGATTTGCTCTTTTTAGGAGCGTTTTTTTTTTTAATTATTATTTTTAAATTTTTAAATTATTTGTTCATAAATAATTTTAGAGAGTGTTACTTTTATCTATTTGTGATGGTGTTCTGCAGGTTTCATGCATTTCGCTCGACCCAGTAAATCAACATTAAGTCATTTTCTGTCTAAATATATTATTTCAAAAGAATTTGATGCATTGGCAATGAAATTCAAACAAACAGAAGCACGGAAAAGGGGAGGGAGGGGGATTTCTTTTACCGGCATTGACGTTTTATACATTTTTTTATGAACATGCCGCTTTCCTTCAATTTATTCTGATTCTTCTTACCACCTAACACCCGTGATTCCGGGGGGGGGGGGGGGGGGTCCTTTATTATGTAAACTAAATAACTAACCCCCCCCCCTATTTTGCACATACATGTATATTACACCATGGTTACCGACCTCGTGACCTTTGAACTTGACCTTTGACATACTTTTCAAAATAGTTCATAGTGCCGATATTTAGCGTATTTTTGACATTTAAGGAATAACTTTATGCTAGTAAGCATGGATTTCTGTACAGTTTGTAATAAGATATAAATAAATATAAAAATATCAGCGTTACAGTTTACTTGACCTTGGAGAGTTAATTCAATTATGCGTTTTTGAATTTTTAGAGGTAGGATTTTGTTAATTAGCAGTATTTCATGTTTATGAGCTCATGATACTGTACTTTTAACCTGTATGAAATACAGTTACCACACAAACTGAACTTTTAAATCTTTGTAAATACATAGAGATCGGTAAACCAAAATCGATGGTTGTAGACTGACAATTGCAGTAAAGACAGACTGCAATCTATTTTTGATACACGTATAATAAAATGATATATAATCATTTCTAATTATTTCAATTTCATTATTCATTTTAACTTTGAGGGTTGGGGAATCTTATTTCAGATTCTATCACAGTCTTACTATCTGTGGATTTTTTTCTTTGCAAGCAAATGCAGGAACTGAAATGCATTGCCAAGTAGCTAGTAGCAAATAAATAGCTGACCACTATTAGATTTATTTCCAACTTTATCATGATGCTATATAGCAGGCGACACAAGCGTTCCTTGGAACACTCTAGTTGTTCCTTGGATAGCTCCAGACTTTCAGTGTTACATGTACAGCAATTCGTTCACCGACTTCATTTTCAGCGTTATACATATCTAGATAGAAAAAAATTCGTTTAACAATTCTGTATATGAAGACTTAAAATTAAGTAGTTTGAAAATTGAATCATTTATTAAAAATTCCAGTGAAGTAAATTGTTGCATGTACTCTTTCCAACACGCAACAATCGTTTTTAAAAATACAAATATACTTTTGCTGAGAATGATTTCAAATGAAACTAGTAGACTAATTGTTCTCGAACAATAAGAGGTCTTTCCACCTTCTTAAATTTTCTATATTTTACTGTCTTAAGTTAATTCTTATGCAAAAAGAATTCAGATATGGCTTGAAAGATAGAAAAAATGAAAATTCTAATAATTTTGAAATGACCTACACCTTCATTAAATTTTCAAGGTCAAGGGTCACACTGCAATTGACTCCATGCCTCTATGACTTATACATTTAAAGTTATAAGGGTTAATAGTAAGCGCAAAGACGTACGTTAAAGTGCGATAACTCATATAAAGGGTCATCATATCCTTTTGCACTGAAAGACTAAAGTTGTGTCTAAAGACCCTGAAGACATTAGTGAAGGTTACGTGTCTCTATGGTTTACGGTTTCTGAGGAGTAGCGATAACAAGGTTTTTCGCACAAGGGGCAATAACGTTTGAAGGGGTTAAGCTTAGGGGATAAGATTGAAATCTTTGAAAGAGTTTTAAGAGTACATCTTAAAGATGCAAAGATATACTGTATATGTTGAAAGACAAAAGAGCTATAAAAAGAGCTTAATTTCTCGTATTTGGAATGACCTTGACCTCTGATCTTGACATAAACTTCAATGTCTAAGGTCAAGGAATCTAATGCAGTTGGTTTCATGTCTTTACAACTTATCGCTTTGAAATTTTTTCATTATTCGTAAACTTCAAAAACTTTCAGGGGCAATAACTACTTAAAGGGGTTGATGAATCCTTCCGCACTCAAAAGGTCAGAGCGTCTACTGACTTAGTCGAAGATATTGGTGATGGATTAGTTTCTCTATGGTTTACGGTTTCGAAGGAGTAGCATTAACAAGCTTTTATTGCGAAAGGGGTAATAACTCTTGGAGGGGACAAAGTTCATATACGCAGGGTCAACTGCAAAAGTCTTTTAAGGAGTACATTCTCATGGACTAAAAATCTTTTCGATAAATCTTGAAACTCAAAATCACACTTGGCGGAAAAATAATAATAATAAACAGAACAATTTCAAAAGGTCTTTCCACAGAAAGGTGGAAAAACCTAACTATTCCAATGTCTTGGTTTTGCCACCCCCCCCCCCACCTCCCCCCAAAAAATTATCACTTTATGAAACTAAACTAAAACGTAGACATTTTCAGAGAATAAATACGTTTGATATAGGGCTGGGCAGTAATACCGATATTATACAATTATGGACTCTTTCAGTGGTGAATATGGTTTGTTAATCACCAGAAAAATATCAATATTGACCGAGGCGAAGCCTCGGTCAATATTGATATTTTTCTGGTGAATAACAAACCATATTCACCACCGAAAGAGTCCATAATTGTTTTATTATATAGTCCGGATTTGAATAAATAAGACATTGGAGGCTGCATGACGATACCTTTCCTTCATTAACGAACCTCTGTCGTAAAAAAAAAATTAAAAAAAAAAAAAAACGTACAGATTATACAACTTATAACTTCCGTGATTTCATTCCGCTGTGTGTAAAACATCGAAATGTTTGGAAAATAATCCTGCGATAGACTTGCCTAACATTTTCCTGCTCTGATACACAGATAGCTCCGGCCGTTGTAACCTCATATTGTTTTTAACTTTGGGGTATTGATTGTGACGTCACAATGCCGCTGCACGCGCACTGACCCTCCGGTGAATACGGCTTCAAATCCAGTGAATATGTAGTGTTATGAACCGTTTGTGTTTGCATAGATTATATAGGGGCTATTTATAGACTATATAATAATATACAATTATGGACTCTTTCGGTGGTGAATATGGTTTGTTATTCACCAGAAAAATATCAATATTGACCGAGGCGAAGCCGAGGTCAATATTGATATTTTTCTGGTGAAAAACAAACCATATTCACCACCGAAAGAGTCCATAATTGTTTTATTATATAGTCAGGATTTTAATGAATAAGACATTGAAGGCTCTATGACAATTGCATTTTCATTACCGAACTTTTGTAGTAGAAAAAAATTACAAAAATGTCCAAAATACAACTTTTAACTTTCGTGTTTTCCTTTCGCTGTGTGTAAGACATCGAAATGTTTGGAAAATAATCCTGCGATAGACTTGCCCAACAATTTTCCTGCTCAAACATACAGCTAGCTCCGGCCGTTGCAACCACTGTTTTCAACGTTGTGTTAGGTAATGATTGTGACGTCACAATGCCGCTGCACGTGCACTGACCCTCCGGTGAATACGGCTTCAAATCCAGTGAATATGTAGTATTATTATACCTCTACTCTTATTACTCTATATAAAATTAATACCATAAAACTGTCTATTTCCCCGAGAAGATACTATTTCCCCCATCTGAGGACTACTCCCTGAAAAATCAAAGCTACTCCCTGGGACTACTCCCTCATGAATATTTATTATAAATTTTAACCAATTAAAATGAACAGTGGGCGGAGCGTTCAAGGAATCTCGAGTCCATGACGTAATGTTAATAGCAATGTAACTATGACGTCAAAACATTTCGACATGCGATGTCAAAATCAAACTTGAATTTCTAAGCAAAAAGAGGACAACGCTAATCCTTCGAAATATTAGTAAAATTTATTATTATTTTTTTTGAAATAATTTTATTTTTTCCGTATTGATGCATTACATATTTAACAAAATTGGAATCGCATGCATTTATTATTATTTTTATAAATGCCTTTATATTGTTTTAAAAATGTCTAAGTCTCTATAGTTAATTAATCTCCTTTGTTTGTTTCGGTAAAATAAAACAGTTATGGAATGGGTACTCGGGAAATATCAAATTTATGGTTCCCCTCGGCAGGAAACTATTTCCCTCGACGGCTTCGCCACCTCGGGAAATAGTTTCCTCCCTCGGGGAACCATAAATTTGCTATTTCCCTCATACCCATTCCATAACTGTATATTATGAACTGTTTGCGTTTACATAGAATATATAGGGACTATTTATAGACTATATAATAATCCGATATATTGAGGTACAATGGGAAAAAAATATCGTATTGCAATACGTTTTTGTAGTACCGATATATCGGCAAAACGTTTGGACTCAGATTTTCTATAATAAATATGCAGTATAAGTTGTCAAGCGTTTGCGGTCGTAGCAAATGGTATGGCAAAAGTTGTTGTATGGGTGTATTTCGATGCATAACTGTAATTAAATCAATAAGACACTTTTTTCTTGGTCATTTAACGCAGTTATGCACATTCTGCATGTAAAGGGAAGATAATAAAATAAGAAAATGCCATTTTATTGGCGTTGAAAATATTGCAATACATATCGCAATACAGTTAAAAATATCGCAATATATCGCAATACGAAATCTCTAACCAATACCCAGCCCTAGTTTGATATCATTAAGAGATCATTATACATTCCGTGCTTCTTCAGTAAACCAATAATGTACGTTCCAAGATTCTTTAGTAATAGCGCTTGTTCATAGGAAACTCTCACCAGGTGGAGTCATGCTAGGTTAATTAGCGTAACGATCTCTCTGGCAGAGAACGACAGTCGATAAAGTGTTGTCTGGAACTGGTGTTAAACAAACACAAACTACAAAATAGGAAAAAAATTAACTTTAAAAAAAAAAACTTTTGTATTCTAAAATATCTTCTACCAATGCATGCAGAAGTACTAAATCGATCAGAGTCTCGTGAATTCTAATACAACGAACAGGTACAGCAAAAACAAAATATCCAATCAATATCATTAATAATTCTGAAATCAGATGACACCATTCTTTTCCAATATAAGGAGGGAAAACAAAGATGCATATATTTACAAATCAAATAAGCCTCAGACAATTGACCTGTATCATGTTGATTAATGTGATGCTAATTTTTAAACAAATAAAACACATCAACAACTTGAAGCTGAGGACGATGGTTTGTTAGAATTTACCTGTATAAATCGATTTCTGCCGTGACAATTGAAGCACAGTCATGTAGCAGTGACGTAAGACATGGCGAAAAAATGTAACTTCTGAAAGGTAAGTGAACTTGAACCAGACATTCCCAGTATACCTCTGAGGTAAAAATTAATCAAACATTAAAAAAGAAAAGAAAAAACTTCTATATACTGACCATAATTTGATATGAATTAAGACGTCGTATAAAATTATAAATAATCTTTGTTCCTGTTCGTTTACCTCAAAATCTTGTTCTGAGATTTAATTGTAAATGTCACATTTAGACGTCCTATTACAGATTTTTGGCGGAAATGAACAGCTGTTTTTGTCTGGGATGAACCATGACTTGATTTTCTGAACTGTGTCTGTGATGGGATGTTATGGAGGGAGTTACCGTGTGACGCCATATTCGGTTAGAATTCTTAATTTGTTAAAAATTATAGAAGACGTTTCTATAAAGAGACTAAACATATTAGTCAAAATGTTGTGTTTATAAATCCATTCTGTGTGTGTCCTATCCATTTCATTTAAATAATTGGTCTTTAAAAAAGATAAAAAGCGTCAAACTATACCAGTATTTACAGAACAAATATAAAAGTAAAGACAAAATTGTGAAAATATGATTAGTAGAGATAACGAGTACTGATGGGGCAAATCAACAGATTTTTATGAAAGAAGAAATTGGTTGTTTGGGGATGTGGATGTTAGTTAAATTGAGCGACTTGTTTACTTGATGCTATAATACATTGTAATGGGAACCTCGTATGCGTAAATTATGTTGATGTTTACTCTCTATAAAGCTTCATTAGAGAAACAAAAGTTAAAAGCTTCTTCAAAATGATGAATTATAACAAATGATAATATTTTGTGAATATTTGTATATTATAGAGCTTATCCTGTAAGACACAAGGAGGATTTTTTTCTTTTTGAAATTTTTACTCTCATTTCCTTCACTAGCTTTTTCCAAAAACAGGATTTGTCATGATTCCCTCATGCCGATGACTGTATAGTGTTGTTAAATCATTAATATAAAAACACGGATATTTTGGTTTTCTCGCATACAAAGAACAATATGCACGACGTAATTATTTTATTTTATTCATGTACTAGAATTTGTTTTTAAATATTTAATTCAAATGAGAAGTAATTCCAATGGAACAAAATTGTATGTAACATTTTGATTTTTTTTTAAATTTAGGAAAGTGTTTTAATTTACTTTTTCAAGTAACTCGTTGAGCTAGAGAAAAATAATATTAATGAAATGATTTATATAAAATTTTGCTTTTGGGGAAAAACTCTAAGAATATAAGAATAATGAAGAGTGTCTATTTAAAGGAACAAGAAATAAAACAAATTACTTGGAGAAAACTGTATATTAACGTTGTAATGTTATGGATACGTTTCTGATAAATTCATAATAAATTCAGGAGGGGGGGGGTATAATATGAAATAATCACACTCTTTCATGTAGAGTATTTAGTTTTTTTTCTATCGTTCACGTTTCTGATCATTATCTGGACCTAATTAGTAAGTTTTGTTGTCCTACCTAGTGAGGATCAGGAACAAATCGGATTGTAAGATCAGTACGATGACTTTCTAACACACGTGTAAATTCACGTGAAGATAATGAACGGCCCCAGACTCTTCAGGACCAGTCACCAAAGATCGTAATGCCAAATAAGTACTGTTTTCAGGGTCCAGGGAGCGCGGCCCCGGAATTTTCTGGCCCTCTTCAGAAGAGGTCTTGTCGTGACGTGGTATGTTTGTTGGTGTTCTTGTTTGCCCTGGGGGGTGCGGGCTATGGAGGGTACTTGGCCGTCAGCCTGGGGGACCAGGACAGACTTGTTTACGGTGTGGATAGCTGGGGGAACGTCTGTGGAAAACGTAACAAGGAAATAGAGGGTGTGCCAAGATCAGGAAAGGACTGCACAAATCTGAGGTCAGTCAACAGGTCAAAGGTGAGGAGTTCAGAGGGCAAGGTCAGAAAAACACTTTAAGAATGAAGTCTTTAAGGTAGAAAACTATACATATTAAAACTACATTAATTAAAACGGGGAAAGTAACTCTAAAGGGAAGAATACTGAATTTTTTTCTTTATTGTAAATCCAATCGAAATTGTATTTGCTGAAAGAAATACGAACATTGCATGAATACCATAAAGTCAGTAAAAAAAAATTGCTAGAGCAATACGTCGATATAAGAAATATGTTCATGCATTGGATATACATGTAAAACTGAATCAACGTGAGGACATTATATAGGTATATCAATATTATATCTGTATAAGTATTGTACTAGTAGTAAAATAAATGATATAAAAACACTGCATCGAAATAAGATACAAAAACTTTGTATCAATTGAAAATTTTTGTATCGATATAAGAATATTTAAAAGGTATAAATTGTAAGAACAATTCATCGGTGTGAGAAATATGACTGTACTGTTATTAAGGATATCGTTATAGTTCATGAGCATTGGATCGGTACAAGACATATTGGATGGGTATAAAGTATTGGATCGGTATAAGATATATTGGATGGGTATAAAGTATTGGATCGGTATAAAACCTATTGGATCGGTATAAATTATTGGATCGGTATTAGACATATTGGATGGGTATAAAGTATTGGATTGATATAAGACATATTGGATGGGTATAAAATATTGGATCGGTAGTCATATTGGATGGGTATAAAGTATTGGATCGGTGCCAGACATATTGGATGGGTATAAAGTATTGGATCGGTATAAGTCATATTGGATGGGTATAAAGTATTGGATCGGTATAAAACATATGGGATGGGTATAAAGTATTGGATTGGTATAGGACGTATTTATCGGTATATAGCATTGGATTAATATAAGACATATTGGATGGATATGAAACATCCGATCGGTATAGAACATATTGGATCAGTATAAAGTATTGGATCGGTATAAAGTATTGGGTCGGTATAAGACATTTTGGAAGGATATAAAGCATTGGATCGGTATAAGAAACCATGGGAATGATATAAGAACTCTGTATAGGTATTAGTACATGTGCCTCCTAACTTCTACTGTACCTTTTAATGCATTAAATCAGCTGGGTTGGACATTGGACCCAAATAAGAACAGCACATTCTATCCTTATTTGTATTTTGCAGGAATCTGTTTTTCTACGATAAGTCAATATTTGCCAATTACGTGCCCGGTGATTATATAACTGTGGATACAACAGCACTTTGTGTTAAAACATGTCCGACTTACCCGATAAGCAGTGTGACAGAACTACAGGGTTTCTACAACAACACAGGTTCCAGTTTGTGCTGGTATGACGTGCCACGTGAGGCCTATTTTGACGGGAACTCCAATGGACGCGACAGATGCCCCAGATTGCCGATAGAAACCCAGTAAGGATTCATAGTTGGATTTCATATTGCTTAAGGACTATCTTCTCGCTTTTGATAATGTTCTTAATGATCTAAAAATGTATAAGAAAAAAAAAAAAAAACCACTCCATTGCATTTATATTCATTTCATTTCATTTAACTACCTTCTTATTTCAGCGAGTCCATTCTATTCCGTTGTATACCAAAGTCTTTCAACCAACCTTTTGAGATTTTGACAAGTGCCATCAACGACATCCTCAACAAAATCGATCCAAACTTTGCCGAGGTATGACCAAAGCTTGACTGGGATATGAACAAAGCTTGACTTGGGTATGAGCAAAGCTTGACTGATGTATGAACAAAGCTGACTGAGGTATGAGCAAAGCTTGACTAAGGTATAAACAAAGCTTGAATGAGGTATAAACAAAGATTGACTGATGAACAAAGCTTGACTGAGGTATGAACAAAGATTGACTGAGGTATGAACAAAGCTTGACAGAGGTATGAACAAAGATTGACTGAGGTATGAACAAAGCTTGACTGAGGTATGAACAAAGATTGACTGAGGTATGAACAAAGCTTGACTAAGGTATAAACAAAGCTTGAATGAGGTATAAACAAAGATTGACTGATGAACAAAGCTTGACTGAGGTATGAACAAAGATTGACTGAGGTATGAACAAAGCTTGACTGAGGTATGAACAAAGATTGACTGAGGTATGAACAAAGCTTGACTGAGGTATGAACAAAGATTGACTGAGGTATGAACAAAGCTTGACTAAGGTATGAACAAAGCTTGACTGAGAAATAAACAAAGCTTGACTGAGAAACCCTGGTATGAACAAATTACACTTGACAGAGGGACAGTCTCCCTAGCCCCCCCCCCCCACCCCCCCGGCTCTGACAACTATGTGAAGTATGAACAAAGGTTGACTCAGGTATGAATAAAGCTTGACTCAGTATGAATAAAGATTGACTCAGGTATGAACAAAGCTTGACTGAGGTATGAACAAAGCTTGATTGCGGTATGAATGAAACTTGACTGAGATATGAACAAAGCTTGATTTAGGTATGACCAAAGTTTCACTGAAGCTTGACTGAAATCAGCATTCCTAATGAACATGTTTATAGTTTCATGACACTTGCTCTCAAAATGTAGTAATTACATTTTTAAAATACTAGTAGATTATGTTAACATTCTATTGTCTCACGGCCTTTATATCACCCAAGATAAAATCACGTTTTTTCTGACTTTACGGAAAAGACCGAGTGGTGTTCGATGTTCTCGACTAACTGATAAAAGCCTTGTTCGTTTTAAATTGGTATATCGACTTGGCTTCGTTAACCCTGTGTGTGTGTGTGGGGGGGAGGGGGGGGTCATATGAATAAAAAAATCAATTTAATTAATTATTCATTCTAACTTGATAGTATGATAAATAATATTTATTGCGATCTTACTGTCCCTGGATGTTTGGTTTATTTTGTTCTTTAATGGTTGAACTTAATCATGCTTTCTTATGATACTTAAAATTAGATAACTCTTTAATCTTATTTCCGTCGACACATGCGTTCCTTGGAACACTCTAATTGTTTCGTGTGGATTTTTTTTTTTTTTGGCGATTTGTAGCAACCTTGTTTATAAATATGTCATGTTTTAAATTTTGAATTTACCGGGTGGGAGTAAATAAAAAATTTAGAACATGACATCTAACTTCTAAATTTCGTATTTACTCCCTCTTGGTAAATTCAAAATTTAGAACATGACAAATATATGACATAGACAATTGAAACCTAGACAATTGAAACCTTATGTTGAAGAGGCGTAAAATTTGGAAATTCTAATTAAAAATAAAAAGTTTGTTCAGGTTTATATTTCCCCCATTTTATACTCAGTATCTTGGTTCCTACAGACCTTTATGAATATTTTTTTGCTTTTTAGAAATGTGTATCCGATCTGAAGAAAACATGGCGAGAAATTTGCTACTTATCTGCGACAGCATTGGGTAAGTATAATGCTTTATGCTTTAAAGGGGGAGATTGGAGGCAATTAAATACGAATTATTCATGTGTGGAAAGAAAAGAAAAGAAAAGAAAATCACAAAGTGTATTGGAAATTCCGAATTTGAAATCTACAGGCATATCGCTTCGACATATTTAAATGTAAATCATCTTTAGGTATATCGCCGTTATGATGACATGTATCGTTTTGATATAAATCTAAATGTAAATTTCTAGTATATTAAGATGTATCGCTTTGACTATCTAAACGTAAATAATATTTAGGTGTATCGCTTTTATGTTATATCTAAATGTAAATCATATTTAATTGTTTTGCTTTGGTATATCTAAATGTAAATCAAATTTAGATGTATCACTGGCTATCGCTATTATGATAAGATGTATCGCATTGATATATCTAAATGTAAATTATCTTTAGGTGGCTATCGTTATTATCATATTTAGGTGTATCGCTGGCTATCGCTATTATCATATTTAGGTGTATCGCTGGCAAATTGGCAATCAATTTCGGTATATCGCTGGCTATCGTTATTATGATGATATATATCGCTTTGATGATCATATTTAGGTGTATCGCTGACCATCGTTATTATCATATTTAGGTGTATCGCTAACTATCGTTATTATCATATTTAGTTGTATCGCAGGCTATTGTTAATATCATATTTAGGTGTATCGCTGACTATCCTTATTGTCATATTTAGGTGTATCGCTGGCTATCGTGATTCTCCTGCGATTTATCGCTGGTATCGTGATCTGGTTGATGGTCATTTTACTTGGACTCGGCAGTGTTGTTGGGACAGCCCTTTGTTGGTAGGTAATGTACATCACTTAAACAAGACAAAAACAGAGTTATATATATGATAAATCAACCTATTATAAACATGACAGATGGTTTTAGGAATAAACATACAGTTATCAGAGCTCTAAGCGTGCAGAATTTTTTATTACATGCATGTCCTAAAAAAATGACGAGTTGCAGTAACTAAAGAACAAGTAATGAAAGGCTACATCACATGATCACAGTTTATGAGGTACAATTCACCTCTATAGAAGAATGGTACATATATAGAATACGTCTTGCTGGTGTAGATTATAAAAATATTACACTGTTTTTTAGTGTAACATATCAAATTATTAATTATCCCGCGAAAACAATTGTTGAGCGAGGCGAAGCCAAGGTCAACAATGGATTTCAAGGGATAATAATTTCACATATGTTACCCTAAAAATCATGTAGGTTGTTTTCTTTTGTGTTTTGTTAATTTAAATATATTTAGAATACATTTAAAGGAAATGTCTTGATGAACTGTACCCGCAAACATTATGTTTAGATTGTTACCTGTCGTCAGCCGATGTAATGTTACCATTAATGTAAAATCTACAAACAATACAGATTTGTTAACAGGGCATAAAACACGCGCGTACGGACCCCCGGAAATTTCAGAGTTGGGATCAGGAGCCTAGAAGGAGTGATAGAACCATTCATTTTGTCGTCCATGTAGCTTAAAGGCTTATTTCTTTGCATCTTAGGCACTCCCCATTTTAATTGTAAAATAAGAACATATCTACTGTATATTTACAATATACATGTAGATAACAATGTAGTTGATACATTTTTCCTTCCAAATTAGGATGGGGATTGCTATAATTGTTAGCTTAAGAAATTGAGTTGTTTCTACCTCCATTAAGGTATCATTACTACGAGCTACAGGGAAGTCCACAACATACAGAGGAGGCAGAGAAATGGTTGATTGGTTCTATTTCCGGTACCGTTGTCATGGTGATTGTGTTGTTGATCCTGTTGGTGATGAGGAAGAGGATTGCTCTGGTAATGGCGTCCATCACGAATTCTTAAATAAATTAAAAATTTCAAATTAATGAGAATGACAAACACATTTCACTGAGATCAAACGAGAACTGATTTGATATATTTCAGGTTGTCCAATTATTTAAGGAGGCGAGTCACGCGGTCTCAAGTATTCCATTTTTGTTGATTCAACCGCTCTGGGTAAGATAAAAAGTACACGTATGATAATGTATATTATGTACATAGCTATTTTGAATCTTGTGTCCTTTAAAACTTCCTTCTCCATCTAAACAACTCTTTTGGTTTTTCAGACATTAACCATATTCCTGGGAATAGTCACTCTTTTCTCCTATATCTTCCTCGGAATGGAATCCGCTGGTGAGACCTTTACTTCCCTTGTAATGGTTCATCTTGGAAAAATTAATGGCTTCTATTTTTATAAGAGTAATATCGGATATTGTTCTGTTTTCAGGTCACCCTAGCATATCAAACACCACAGGATATGTGTCCTTTAAAGAAGATGAAACAGTAAAAGTATGATATTTACAAATTGAAAACGACTTTTTTTTATATTTTGAATTGAAAATTTTCGTTTTTCATTCCGACCTCAATATAAACATTTGATTGGGTTTTTTTAGGTTCTGAAATGGTACCACGTGTTTGCTGGTATCTGGACTATACAGTTTGTATTTGCCTGTGAGAAAATCATCATGGCTGGTGCTGTGGCTGTATGGTACTTTCAAAGGTAAGATGAGCAGACGTTCTGTTACGGAGAGGCTATCACTTACATGTAGTTCTTATTCAGAATAATTAACAGTACGGGTAATCTGTGGTAATTAATCGGAGGCTATATTCTGTGTGCTTGTAGGGACTCCGGAATGCCATCCTTCCCAATTCTGTTGTCAATCAAACAACTCATCAGGTAACTTTGATATTTTCATAGTATATTTTTCAGGCCACTAAGTTAATGGTAGAATGGTGACCATATTATAAGTGTGAAAACCTTGAATTCAAACTTTGGTAAATTTTTGCCTAAAGCCTAATTGTGTATAAAGTTACTAGTAAGATTCTGTTGCCTATAGTCTTAAGGTATGTTAAGTTACCTTTATTTTTTAAAAATCTTGCGTCTTTGTTAAGATTACTGTCAGAAATAAATATAAACATACATATGCATTTCTACCGTGTTTCAGATACCACCTTGGATCCGCCGCTTTTGGATCATTCATCATCACTCTTCTAGTTTTCGTCAACTGGATATTGGCTTTCATACATAAAAAGTCAGTAAATATTACATAAAAAGTCAGTGAATATTACATGAGTATTTTAATCTTAGATTTAGTCGCCATAGTACAATTTAATATCGTATAGTCTTTGCATTGCCATATATTCTTTAAACAAATCAGAGGTGACAGGGTGGAACATAACGTTTCATTTTTGTGCTGCTATTTTTCTAATCCTCTGTAACAACAGTACCGGATCGGTATGTGGGGAATATTTTGATTACTGTTATGTTAGAACAAAAAAGATTTTACATTTCAGCCAATATATGGGATTTTGATTTTTAATATTTATGTTTAGGGTGAAGAACAGTACCGGATCAGTGGGAGATTTTCTGATGAAATGTTTCCGCTGCTGCTTCTGGTGTTTTGAGAAAGCCATTAAATTCATCAACAGTAACGCCTACATCGAGATAGGTCTGATTCTGTTATATTCGTTTTGCTGTTTGTGTATTCTAATCAAAATTGTACAATGTTGTTTTATTCTTTACTTCGACCTTTTTGCAGCCATTCTAGGAGAGAGTTTCTGTCACAGTGCCCAACGCGCCCTTAAGATCATTGTCTCCAACTCCCTACGATTGGCCGCCATCAATTCTGTTGGCAACTTTACTTTGTTTCTAGGAAAGGCGGGAACTGTTGCTATAGTAGCGGTCATTGGCATGGAGATTTTGGCGGTAAGTCTGTGGGTATTCTCTACGTACGTGTTATCATGTCAATATTTATGCACAATGAATAGGCTGATCAGTTATTTTAAAAAATTTGAGATGATGGAATCGTTTTTTTTGTTTCATAATGACATGATTAAATCAAGTATATCTTGCGTCACTTACAGTTGAGATCTGACGTCATTTATCCATGGTTACCTATCACACTCTCCTGCCTTATAGCCTTTGTCATCGCCAACTGTTTGATTGGAGTATATGAGGTATGGACTAGTACAACATAAAAATACAACAATCCTCTAAAAATAAATACTGTCTTAATTCAACAGTTTAAAAATATTCGTTAGAAGGGGCTCATATCTGCGTTTCTTCAAAATATTTTCTCATACATGTATCATTAATACTTGTGAGTGTGGACATATTATATTTAAAGTATACTTCAAAAGTGGGTTGTTGTTTTTTCATGCATCATGTTAAAAGTAATTGTTTTCCTCGTATAATCTACATATATATCAATTACTCCTTGTCTGTGTTTTTAGTTATGTATCGATACGATCTTTGTCTGCTTCTGCGAGGACTGCGAGAGAAATGACGGCGGAGAGAGACCGTACCACATGTCCACTGGTCTGCTGGTATGTTATCTAGTTAATATGACATTAAAATAATTCATTAATACACAGTATCTCTGTAAATTGTATAACACACGTCACTGTAATAAACTGTATTTTATTTCTTCTATGTCAGTTTATATGTCAGTTTTAAATATTTTTAATATTCTAAACAACCAAAATGAATTTGAATTACCATATTTATATTGGATTCCGAAACTTCATAAAAATCCTTACAAACAAAGATACATAGCGGATTCCAGTAAATGTTCAACCAAGCCTCTTTCTCTACTCCTCACTAAGATATTAACAGTGGTAAAGGAGAAACTTCAAGAGTACTGTGCAACAACATATTCGAGAAGTGGTGTAAATCAGATGTGGATACTTAAAAATTCCAAGGAACTTTTGGAAAATTTGAAATCGCAAGATTTTACCAAAATCAACAGCTTAAAAACTTATGACTTTTCTACTTTATACACAACCATTCCCCACGATAAATTAAAGTCCAGGCTTTTTGATATCATTGACAGCTGCTTTTTCAATAAAAATGGAACTCGTAAATATACTTACCTTGTCATTGGTCATTTGCAAAATTATTTTGTTAAAAAACATTCTGATTGTACACACAAGTACTCTGAAGTTGACATTAAAAAGATGCTTGAGTTTCTGATTGACAATATCTATGTGGTTTTTGGAGACCAGGTCTTCCAACAATCTATTGGAATTCCCATGGGTACCAATTGCGCCCCGTTATTAGCAGACTTTTTTTGTATTTATATGAAGCAGAATTTGTCCAAAATCTTGTACGTGAAAAGAAGAAAACACTTGCTGTGGCCTTCAACTCGACATTTAGATATATCGACGATGTATTGTCAATTAACCATGGTTATTTTCATTCTTATGTCAATACGATATATCCTGGTGAGCTTGAGATAAAAGATACCACAGAGTCTGACACATCTGTTTCATATTTGGATATTTTACTTGAAAAAGACGTTAATGGTAATCTAACAACCAAGCTTTATGATAAACGTGATGACTTTAACTTTTCAATCGTCAACTTCCCTTACTTATGCAGCAATATACCTTCATCACCTGCATACGGGGTATATCTCTCTCAGTTGATTCGATACGCAAGAGCATGCTCTACGTATGAACAATTTCTAAAACGAGGTAAATTATTGACAAACAAGTTGATGAAACAACAATATCAGCTGTCTCGTTTAAAGTCATCATTTCGTAAGTTCTATGGTCGATACAATGACCTTGTCAGCAAATACAATTTATCATGGAGTCAAATGCTGACTGACGTTTTTTCATACTAATTGTTAGGCCATTATTTACACACTGAATTGTCGACGGATTTTTCCGTTATTTCCCGATCATGACAAGGAGCACGCGGCGGGTGTGACCAGTCGGCAGGGGATGCTCACTCCTCCATGGCACCTGATCCCACCTCTGATGTTTGGAGGTCCGTGTTTGCTCTGCTCCTATTTTGTATTGTTTAATGGACTTTTGAGCTTGTTCGTTATCTCCATATATTTCATTCTATGCATATAATATTATACAGTTATTGTTATCATTTGTTGAAAAATTGCAAAGAATGCCACAAGATACTTTTTTTCTGTTAAAATAGAAATTCGTCACTGGTTCACATGGTGAAAAGACTAAGCATATACCAGAACATCCTCCAAAATGATGTCAAAGCCAAGCCATTTCACTAATACAGCGGAACAGGTGCTTGTTTTCATGGAAAATGGAAACACGATTCAGTTTTTCCTCATGAAGCAATATCTGGAGCCAGCGATTTTATTAAACGCCTTACAGTTCATTGTTTGGTGGGTGGTTTGTAGGGAATGAGTTAGCAGGTCTAGAGAGTGATATCTTGTTTATATCTCAAAGTTTCATCCATTCTCCTATGAAACTGCTCGCAATGAATGCTGTGATATATAATGCTTTGTCAACATTCAGGGGTCGTCAACAGGATGTCATTTGAACCTATATGTTTTATATATTTTATTTTTGCGCATTCTTCCTTTTGTGTGTGTGTGTGTGTGTGTGGGGGGGGGGGGGGGGGGGGTGATATATTTCGTTTATAATGTGTACATTGGATCAAATACAGAGACTGTGCAATAAAACCCATACAATATACACCAGTATTATATATTTTAATTTTTGATTGCCATTTATACTAGTAAGTGTTTATTTGTAAATTGTCGTTCTGTTTGCAAACATGATTAAAGCATACACTGCAAAATTTAGTTGTTATTTTTTACTTCTACCTGTGACCAGTTTCCTTTACCTGTGACCAGTTCCCCCAGGTAATTACCTTCTACAGAAAGGTTTAAATATTTGTTTCATTTAAAGGTGTATATATTGATTTTTATTCTAGTTTATTGTCGCTTTATTCTCAACAAAAAAAGTAACTCCCATTTTCTTTGGGGAAAAAGGTCCAAAATGAAAGTTTAACACCATGCGTAAGTAGAACTTCAGTACATTCTTAAAAGCGAAACCAGAAGCGTGCAAAGATTTGACGATTTAAGCAAACCTTTGGCAGCTGGCAGTTAAGGAATAACTGTCTAGTTTTTTGGTTTTATTTATGCGTAAAATTATTACGCGAGCAAATTGATTGATCAGCATCATTAAACCAAAAAATCAGACAGTTATTCCTTATATTTACATTTTTACCCGATCCTTGATTCAATTAAAAAAATAACCAGCATCCCCACCAGGTGTATTACTTAAGCAACACGCAGCGAAAAAAGGATGCAGTTCATAACCAGCATCCCCACCAGGTGTATTACTTAAGCAACACGCAGCGAAAAAAGGATGCAGTTCTGTCACGTGCTGAGACAATCGATTTATGGGGTTATAAAGCCATTACCTTATTTGTAGATTTAACTCAGAGAAAGACATTGGAAAATGTAAACATTAGTAGATGTAAGCGAAAGTGTATCTACTTCTCTATAGAGAATATCGCTGATACATAAAAGGTTTAAAAAAAAAAAAAAAAAAAAATTCCCTGTTGTTTTGTACTCTTTAAATAATTTTGATATTTTTTGTTTTTCGTACCATGTCTGAGAAAATGACAAAGTGAGTGAGCAATATTTTTAAACAAAAAAAAACTTAAGATAATAGATAAAATTAACAAATACTTCGGGTAATAAACAAAGTCATGGATTTTATCTAGTGCACGTAGAACCCTTGCTAATTTGTGTCTGTGCTATATATTCTATAGGTGCCTCCTAGCGGAAAGACCCCCCCCCCCCCCCCCGAAAAAAGTCTATACACCCAGGTCCAGGAATGTATTGATTTGCTTTGCTTCTTAAATATTCTTCTAACACTAATTTACTATGTGTTCCATAAGAAAATCCGATAAAACGTCCTGTGCCAGAATTTGTATCAAAAAGATCCCACTGCGGTGTTTTATTTTATAATACCATGAGAATGATATTTTTATTAAATATAGTTTTTTTTCCTCAGAGCAAAACATTGTAAACGTGTTTTAGAAGAAAAAATGTATGAAACAAAACAATTTTGCAACAAAATTTCATGGGCCAGGGATGTATATATTAGTCATTATTGAAAGGGTGTGCTGTATTTGTTTTACAATTTTAAGAATTATATATAATTATATACAGTTCTAATCATAATTTTCATACAAAATCTACTCTAACCGTTAATCGGTAGGGGCGGACATTGACTTATTTAAAGCTATATATGGCGTATCTGAGCTAAAAAATAAAAACACGAGATTGAGTGTAAATAAACATGATATATGTTATTAACCTTCAAATTAAAATTTTCACCGATTTTGAACTTGAATAACCTCATGTTTCCATAGTTAAATTGACTTTAAACTGTGTTTATTACTTAAATGCGGAGTCGGTAAATAAATCAGTTATTGTTTTAAATTTCTAACATCTTTGAAACGTGATTGATTTAAACTGTGTAATTTACAGGAAAGTCCTATCTTTATATAAAGTAATAAAACAAATAGAAATATCTTTTTAGTTTTAGTTAGACTAAACTTACAAAATAAAAATACGCCATATATGACTTGAGGTTTTCAGACTGCACCTAAGTCATATAATTTTTGCATGCTCTGGGTACGATCATTTTTTAACCGAGGCAAGCTAATGACAAATAATTGATGTTGCAAGGATTACAACAACCTTAATGTCAGCTTTTCGCAAATCTACGTACTGTGGATAAAAGGGAAGATCACATTCACTCTAACTGTATAAATTAATAAACTACCGTGGAATTTTAACTCTTTAGTGGGCAGTGTTTAGAGCATCTTTGAGGCCACTTGCTACAAACTCTTTTAAAAAAAAATTCTGGAAGATAGATACTAGATTGATCTGTGTTTTTATTATATACCCAACTGTCTGTCACTCAGTTTTACTGTTGAATTTACGCAATCACGAGACGATGTGATCCGACGTTCCGGATCACCACACTGTGGTTTTCTGAATCCATATCACCCCTCTCTGAAACTGATGACGCAGTACACAGATAAATGACGTTTTTATTCTCGCGCATCAAAAATGATTTGTTTAATGGATAAAAGTTATGTAATTGATCCAAAAAGTTTTTTTCTTTTATCATATTTGGGAAGTTTCTAGTATGCCGGTCCCCAGAATCACGCGATTGCGCATGAGCAGTTATTTCCCTTGCCGTCGCTATGCAGAATGTAAACAAACCGCCATTTTCCCCTCGCTTCAACAAAACGCATTCGATCGAGTGATTAGGGTTAGGGTATTTTGTCTTAAGATTGGAACTGTTTTATAAATCCACTCTTAAATCTTCCTGACTTTGGGCTAATTCATGTAATTTTTGCTTACAAAAGGCACTGCCAAGTGCCTTTTGTGACCAAAAACTTGCATGAATCAGCCTAATGTCGAACTGTGCCGATATACCATCTTATAGGAGTAAAGCATGAAACATGCAAAACTTAAACAAACCGTTAATTTAATATGGCATTGTATGCGATCTACGGATTAGGGTTAGAGTATATATAGCTCGGATATTGTAACTGTTTTATATTCACCCATGTTCGCATCTTATATCTGACTTTGGGTTTATCCATGTATATATGCAATTTTTGCTTACAAAGAACCGGAAGAACAGGAAGGTTTTGCGAAACATGGATGAATTAGCCTTGGTCTAATGTTTAAACATACCCGATATTGTGCGCTAAGTTTTGGCAAGTAATTGGTAAAAGCGACTTACCGTTTTCTTAAGCTCGATATCCTAACCTCCTAATGTCCATATTCAGAATATTTTTTCTTTCAAATCAATGGTGATGCACAATACAATCAACCAATTACTAGTAATTAGTTATCACTTGTTAAATCCCTGCATTTCTTACAAAAATCTCGCAATTTTAGTAGCATTTCACTTTGAGTCCTACTTCTTCACAAGTCTTCATTACGTCAAAACACAAGTGACGCACGTCATGAATATTTATGAGATTACGTCAAAAACTGATCATGTGACTACATTCCTAAACAACGCAAAATGGAGTTTTATCTACTCAACAAGTACAATATTTTGCGAAACCTTTTAATTCTCATTTAAAAAACTGTGTTTAAAAACAAGTTTTTTAAACCCAATTTTTCACAAGGAACACGATTTTTGGCTCAATTTTGCGATTTGTGGCCTTTTTTATCGATTTTGTCTATCGCTCACGCGATCGTATTATATTGTACACCGCCTTCGGCGGCACCTATTTTAGCGCCATATTTATAGGGACCGGTATACTAGAAGTGTTCCTCATATTTTGCTAGTTGTTAAGGGGCATATAATAAATTTATCATTATAACAGTAACTTGATCCGAAGAGCCGTATCACGTCTCGTTGACAGGCACAGATCATCAGATCAAACGAGACGCGAAGCGTCGAGTTTGATCTGATGATCCGCGCCTGTCAACTTGACGTGATACGACTCTTCGGATCAAGTTACTGTTATAATAATATATATATATTACAGTTTTATCAATTAAAGTTTAATTTCTCAGCAATTTTCTATGTGATAAAAAAAATGTACAGATTTACAAGGGAACATCAAAAAGTGGAATTTCAGAGCATCATAAAAAAAATCAGAATTTCTTAATGCCAGGAACCTACTTTAAGAAAATTTGATATTTGCATAACTTTCACTCAAAATAAGTCCAGAAAAATATACATGTATAAACCAATCCATCGTCGCATTAAAATAGGTATTTAAACAGTGTCGCAGCATTTACAACGAGATAATTTAGGCGATTTGGTATTGACGTAAAGGGGATGCTTAACCAGTACGAATCATCTTATGATTGAATTAAGAAATATTCAAGATGGCAGCGTCCATGGTGTGAACGTCTGGTATTCGTATCTTTGTAATTTGTTGTATATCTTGGGTTTTCTAGGTATTTTTTCTTTTGACAATATAAATTTAGATTAAAATGTCTATTCGTATCAATGAGTCACTTGTAGCTTGAGACAGATTGTTTTGTGATGATGAATTGAACCGTTTATCTCATTAAATCAGAAAAATACAAAACACAGGATCACTTTCATGATTGTATACATTCAGGACACGTTTTTCATCAGTTTGATATTAAAATTTTGAAACTATACATATTAACAGACAAAAGCATACAATCTATTATTTGATTCTTGTTTTAATTATTGGTGTTAGAGTGAATTTGGAACTTGCCGTGACGAACTATAGAGATTCACCATGTCGCTGGCTGATGAATTGTTGGCAGACTTTGAGGATGATGATGTTGAACACAATGCAGGAGATGAGGAGATGGACATCATTGCCGAGGTTGATGAAGTTGTTCCTGAGGTAGATTACAAGAGTAAAGAATCTGTAAAACACATTGCCAAACTCCGCGATGGACCTGACCTGGCACGCATCATGACAGAAATAAAGAAATATGCAGGTCAACCATGCAGGGAGAAAGGTTAGTATGAGTTCTGTGTGAATCTAATCAATCTAATGAATCTATGCAGTTTTCATTGTCTTAGACTTAGTTCATATTCAAAAGAAGTTATTTTCATTAAGGTGTTTTCTTTTTTTTTAATTTAAGGAAGGAGGCAAAATTAACAGATCTTAATATTTGTCACTACAATTATTATTTTATATGACATACTGTATACAGGGAAATTTTCGCCCCTGTTTTATTTTCGCCCCTTTCGCCCTAATCACAGGTGGGCAAATTTAAAACGGGGCGAATTCAAAATACACAGTACCATTTCTTAAACAGAACTGTGACTGGGCGAATTTAAAACAGGGCAAAATTGTTCGCAAGTGCGAAAGGGCGAAAATAACACAGGGCGAAAATAACCCTGTATACAGTAAGTAATGATTTTGTAATTTGTTTGTGGATCAGTTGCTGGTCCTGTAGAAGCAGACCCTGAGTATCAGCTGATTGTGGAGGCGAACAACATCACAGTGGAAATTGACAATGAGATCAGTAAGTAATGTTAATATAAGGCTGTGTTATGTCCCCCTAAGGAATTTAGTCTCCTCGTAGTGTTAAATCTCCATTAAATTGTTGTCTCCCTTAAGTTTTATGTAAGTATTAAGTCTTCCTAAAGCAAATATGTTTTAGTTTCCATATGTTTAAGTCGACCTTCAGTCTACTAAAGCTGAAGTCAGAGTTGAAAATATTTTACACTGGTGGCTAGTCCTACTGCAATTAATGTTTGCTTTTGTAGACGTGATTCACAAGTTTACAAGAGACCATTACTCCAAGAGATTTCCTGAGCTCGAGTCCCTAGTCCCCACACCCCTAGAATACATTAGAACTGTACAGGTAAACAAAAACTATCTTAAGTCACAGTAGCAAAAATCATGTAAGGTATACTTGAAGAACTGTTATTATAATTCACTAAATATTTGTTACAGCCTGATTTTGCTGTATTCTACCTCTGTGTGTGTGATTATTTTATAGGAACTTGGAAACAATATTCTTGAGAACTCCAAAAGTAATGAAGTGTTGCAAGAGATTTTGACTCCAGCCACAATAATGGTGGTCAGTGTAACAGCATCTACTACACAGGGGTAAGTGCATTTATAGACAAACAGCTTTTACCACACAGGGTTAGGCCCGGTAAGCTCATTTATAGAGAAACAGCTTTTACCACACAGGGTAAGGCCCAGTAAGCTCATTTATAGAGAAACAGCTTTTACCATACAAGAGTAAAACTCAATTGTATGATTACAGCTACCACAAAGGGGTAAACTCAAAGTAATGTTACAGATTTTACTATTCTGGGGTAAGTTCATTATAAAGTTACAGATTCTACCCCACAGTGGTAAGCTCATGTGTAAAGTTCAGACTCTGAGATTATTCACATGATCTCCTGAATGGAAATAGAAGTTGTCTTTCAAAAAATGTGAGGCATATTTTTATAGTAATCAATACACTGTGATTGTATTAACATTACTAAGACATCTTTCTTCCAGATTTTAATGTGTTGATAATGCAGCTGTTTATGAGTGAGTGTTTTTTTAATATTTTAGCTCAGAGTTGTCTCCTGAAGAATTGGCTGTCGTTAATGAAGCCTGCAAAATGGTAAAACCACATTTTGATAAAATATTTTTGAATAAAAATAAAATATTTTTTGTGAATTAAATCATTTCAACTCCTTAAAAGATGGGGATGTTATGTACACATATTATTACAGGTGTACAAAGTTCTAATCAGAAACTATTGTGGTATACAGAATTGGTTTCCTAATGTGATGATACGTGTATCACTCAAAGCAAATGAATTACTGAATAATTAAATTCCTTCTGCTTTATGTGTATACAGGTAGCATGATAAAATTGATTCTGCAGGTAAAATGACTGGGTTATTGAGACACCATTATACTTTACTCCATGTAAATTGTAATCTTTTGTATTTTCCCTTTTATTTTCCAGGCAGTGGACCTCACGGAGTGTAAAGCTAAGATCTTTGAATATGTGGAATCTCGTATGTCCTTCATAGCTCCTAATCTGTCAATCATTGTAGGAGCCTCCATAGCAGCAAAACTTATGGGTAAGTCTCCTGAACATTTCCCAATCTATAATTGTGGTAGCCTCTATACAACCAATCTAATGGCTTTGATCTCTCTATGTAAGTCTGTAATAGTTCCCTATCTGCCTATCATCAATGGGTCTTCATAAGCAGCCAAACTCTATGCACTGTCTGCTAAAGATAAAGGTATTTCAGATTCATGTATCTGAAAGTTTGAATATCATGAAAAATAGATTGCAGGAAACATTGCATATATATGAATACATTAAATATGTACCTAGTGGCAAGAAGCATAACTTTCTAATACTTTGTTTAAACAAGTGTATATGCATATGTATGTATTAACATAGTTTCATGTGGAACTGATGTTAACACATTAATCCCCTTCAATCAAACTTTATTTCCTATTTTGTGTCATAAACTTGTGATCTGCAAGCTCCGTTTTACGTTTTACAATACTTCTCACTACAATTTGATTAACAGTGAGTAAAAGCTGTTTGCCCTGTCTAAAAGATTCTACTTGTTTGTGACTCAGAAACTCAAGAGATTTTGGGATATTGAAAGTATGCATGACAACTCGATATTCATTTCTAGATTATTGTGGTAGTTTTTGTATTGAACTTTTACAATCTTCTTGCAGGAATTGCTGGTGGCTTGACCAATTTATCCAAAATGCCAGCATGTAATATACAGATTCTTGGAGCTCAGAAACGAACCTTATCTGGTTTCTCCACGGCTGCCGTTCTCCCTCATACTGGGCATGTTTATTACAGTGATATCGTACAGAAAACTCCCCCGGTAATTACAATTTAACTGATCAGTTTCAGATTTTTTTTTTTAATTCTTTACATCATGAACAGATTTATTTCTCATCACGTTTCATAAAAAAAGGTTCACAATGGGCTCTTATCATTCCAAGTATAGATCGAGTCTTGTCACATATTGTATTTCAAAGATCCTCTGTTTTGCTCAAGATCAAGAATACTATGTTAGATGAAACATGAAAAAAGTATATGTCATTGACCTTAAACTTTTACCAAGGTCACTTCAAAGTAACCATATTTTTCTCATCTTTCATCACGGAAGAGCTGTGAATGTTTGGTAAAGCACTCTTTTATGGCCAGTATGTGTTCTGAAATTAAATTAACTCATTCTTTTTAATAGAATACAGTCTTTTTAGACATATTCCATAATTCTTTGTATGAGGAAGTTACTAGTTTTAACAAGTTAAAAAATAATAATGTTGGATTATCATTAATCTGAATTTCCTGGTTATATTCAATTTTATTTCCTAGTATAATGATAAAAATTTCTATATTACATGTATTACCAAAATGTACCTTACTCTGCTGGTACTTCACAGATAGCATAACCTCACACCAGCATTGCTGCATTGATTTATTGTATAAATATGGTAAAGAACTGAAACAAAAAATAGAATTACCCGTGAAATACATGATAATTCACGTTATAAAGGTCTGTTAAAAGTCAGTGAATTCTCCCACTTACTAATATTATGTTATAAAGGTCTGTTATTGTCCGTGAATTTTCCTTCTCCGTGATTAGGACTTGAGAAAGAAGGCAGCTCGCCTGGTGGCTGCTAAGTGTACTCTGGCTGCCCGTGTGGACAGTTTCCATGAGAGTGTGGACGGAGCTATTGGGGACAGCCTGAGGGCAGAGATAGAACAGAAACTGGACAAATTACAAGAACCACCCCCTGTCAAAACTGTGAAGCCCCTCCCAGCCCCCATAGAACAGTCCCGCAAAAGACGCGGAGGTCGAAGGTCAGGGTTATATTATCTGTAGATTTTTTTTTTATGCCCCGCCATGAATATGGCCGGGGCATATAGTGTTTGTCATGTCCGTCTTCCGTCCTTCCGTCCTTCCGTCTGTCCTTCCGTCACACTTTGCGTTTAGCTCTGTTCAAAGCTCAGTTTCAAAGATACCATTCAAGATATTTTTATCAAACTTCATATGCTGATAGATATTGATGAGAGCTATGCAACTGCATCAACATTTTTTGACCTTGACCTTTCCTTTGACCTTGACCTCACTTTTCTTAAATTAGTGTTTAGCTCAGTTTTAAAGATACCATTCAAGGTAGTGTAATCAAACTTCATATGTTGATGCATACTGATGTAAGCTATTCAACTGCATCAACATTTTTTGACCTTGACCTTTCTTTTGACCTTGACCTCACTTTTCTTAAATTAGTGTTTAGCTCAGTTTTAATGAAAGCATTCAAGATATTTTTAACAAACTTCATATGCTGATACATAATGATGAGAACTATTCAACTGCATCAATATTTTTTACCTTGACCTTTCCTTTGACCTTGACCTCACTTTTCTGAAATAAGTTTTAGCTCAGTTTTAAAGATACCATTCAAGATAGTGTTATCAAACTTCATATGCTGATACATACTGATGAGAGCTATTCAACTGCATCAACATTTTTTGACCTTGACCTTTCCTTTGACCTTGACCTCACTTTTCTTAAATCAGTGTCAAACTTCATATGCTGATACATACTGATGAGAACTATTCAACTGCATCAATATTTTTTGACCTTGACCTTTCTTTTGACCTTGACCTCACTTTTCTTAAATTAGTGTTTAGCTCAGTTTTAAAGAAACCATTCACAATATTTTTATCAAACTTCATATGCTAATACATACTGATGTAACCTTTTCAACTGCATCAACATTTTTTGACCTTGACCTTTCCTTTGACCTTGACCTCACTTTTCTTAAATTAGTGTCAAACTTCATATGCTGATACATACTGATGTAAGCTATTCAACTGCATCAATATTTTTTCACCTAGACCTTTCCTTTGACCTTGACCTCACTTTTCTCAATTTGTGTTAAAATGTTGCATTACTAATATACCCTCGGCGGGGCATTCATGTCCTATGGACATATTTCTAGTTTTTACATAAAATTATGTTGATGTACGTCTATGTTTACAGTATGAAAATAGATTTTGTAAAAAATATTGAGACAGTCTATTGACCTATTTGTTGTGACTTTCTTCTTTCAGAGCCAGAAAAATGAAGGAGAGGTTAGGATTGACAGAGGTCAGAAAGGCAGCCAACAGAATGAACTTTGGAGAGGTAACACAGACATCATCCAGCTCTCTTGTAGTCTTCAATCACTCTTGTTCAAACTGAAATTACATACAATGTCAGGGTTAGGGTTAGAAACAAGAAATATTTTTTAAAAAGTGCCCAACAATGTTGAGGAAAAAGTTCCTGTGATGTCTGATATGAATATTTGAACTGTGTGAATGATGACAAGGTGACAATTTCAGATTGAAGAGGATGCCTATCAGGACGACCTGGGATTCTCTTTGGGAGCTCTGGGAAAATCCCAGTCTGGCAAGATCCGTGGTCCAGTGGTAGACTCTAAAACCAAGGCTCGAATCTCTAAAACTCTACAAGTAAGTGTCTATTTTCAGCACAAATATACATGTACTGGAAACACATTTCATCCTTAAAAAAAACCCCAAGAGAACCAAACACAAAAAAGCAGAAATTGCTCTCTGTGGTTTATATGCTGTATTTGTTGGTAGTTTTCAAAACATTTTCATATTACATGTATTATGAATCAGTTTTTAATGTTTTGGTTCAATAAAGGGAAAAAACAAGAAAAGTTGGAGGTTCAGAGGTGAAAGATAACTGATAATAGGGAGATAGAATCATGACTTTGCTTCCAACAAAGGGATTTACAAGAAGCCCTATTGGCAAAGCGAATATTTTTCCTGTAGCTTAGTCAATTCATCATATTAACGTCATAAATGTTACAGTTTTTGAATACCATAATGAAATGATTCAGTTTAGTAAATCTTTATTGATGTAAACTTCATCTTTGTTGGTTTCATTTACTGTTCTGACAAAGATGTACAGAAAACAGAAAGTGGCTTCAGTTGATAATTTTCCTGCGGTGGTCTTCAGTCTCACTCAGTGATAGTCTTTGATTATGATCTGCTTAACACAGCCAAACTAAGTCTAACTTTAAGGCATATTTATTGTTAACCTGACTGAATCTGATATAATTAAGATTGCTTTATGTCTGATTTATTTAAAGAGGCAAACAAACCTTGTCACTGAAATGTGAAATATTATTTTATAAAAGGCTAAAGTTCAGAAACAGAACAATGTATGGGGAGGCAGTACTACTGTAAAGCGACAGATTGCAGGAACAGCTTCAAGTGTGGCCTTCACCCCATTACAGGTATGTGTATAATATATGATAAAGTCTCAGGTGTGACCTTCACCCCATTACAGGTATGTGTATAGTACATGATAAAGTCTCAGGTGTGACTTTCACACCATTACAGGTATGTGTATAATACTTGATAAAGTCTCAGGTGTGACCTTCACACCATTACAGGTATGTGTATAATATATGATAAAGTCAATGTCATTGTTTCTGTGAACAAAACCATTAGATATGTTAAACTTATCAGTACATGTATATATAGACATGTAATTCTTTGCTATAGGGTCTGGAGATTGTAAATCCACAGGCGGCAGAGAGAAAAGTGCAGGCAGCCAACGCTAAATACTTCTCCAGTACTGCCGGCTTCCACAAACTCAAAAAGGAAGAAACATGAAACAAATAAATGAACCTAAGACATTTATATACTTTACACACTTAACAATTGGACACATGTATGTATGAGTGACACTTATTGTAGTGTGCATATCATGCTTGGGATTTATTTTACAAGAATTATCTCTAATTACATGGGATAGAGACTGATAATTGTGACATTATACTGACAGAGACAGTCTTGGACTACTGTGTTTGTTATTCACTCCTTACTTACAGTGTAATAGTGAAATATAAATCATTGCTCCCCAGAAATACATATTTTTCATGTTTTGTGTTTGGAATCATTAATTGTAATTACATTAAATGTAAAACTTAAAAATAAATGTCTGTTATGAGGAATGTCAAATATTTTTATGTGGAATGATTGAATTGTTCTCTCTCCTGCATTATACATGAACTCGATCCTTTTAGTAATTCTTGAGATAGAATATTCATAAACTTAGTTTAAAATCATCAGATTTGGGTACAAGTGAATGGCAAGGTTACTTTATACATGTAGAGTGAAAACTAACCCAACACCTGTGCTGTCCATTTCACTGTGAATTCCTTTTTTTATTCCCATTTTACTATTTTTCATGTTCTTCATCTTTTCTCTCAGCGCATAGCATATTTGACAGGTTTCACTGCATTAGGTATACTAGTCATTGAAATGTAGCAATGAGGAGGTGAATTAGTCTTCAAAATAACAACAAGGAATCTTTCAAGGTGTTGAAACTAATGATAAAGAAAACTTTTTTAAAGAAAATTTGATTGAAGGATTTGGCAAATATGCAGGATGATTTGGTTGACTCATTTCTAATAAACGGTGACAAAGTTGCTATTGAGAATTTTTCTCTTTATATTGAACTTCATTGAGGTTTCTATGATAAACAAAGGTGTTTTGCAATTAGAAGTGTTACCCCAAGCTGATGGCTGATGTTGCACAGAACTGTTCAGACTTGCGCTTTTTAGCTGTTCAGACACCTATCACTTCAGGGCTGCGTCCTCTCGATCCCGTGGCGACCATGACAACACAGAACGCTGAGGAGAGTCTCCTACAGCGCTGCTTATACTCGCTGGGATCTCCAAGTGACGCAGTTGAGTCTCCTACTCGCCTAGAACGCCAGGCGTTTTAGTTATTTAGTTAAAGCATCATTTTAGTTATAAGTATTAAGTAATGATTGTTAGTGACAGTAAAATATAATAAACGTTTATTAAACAGGGATGGGCATGTATAAAAATTAAAGATACTGTACCTTAATTTCATAAACTGTTATTATCCTGAGAGAAGAGATTGGATTTTGATGCTGGTACAAGGAACTCTATGTATACTGATTTATAATGGATTTGATCTGAATAGACAATCCAACCCATCGATACTAAGAAATAAAATTTGAAAGGAAATAGCAAAGTTGCTATTAAGATTTTTAACTAAGAACAAATTGGGAAGTTTGAAGTATATAAGTAACATGTGTTTGTTTATTTAAGTAAATTAATTAAGGTAAAAACTCCTGTAGTGTTGAGGACTGATTCCAAAAGAGTATTACAATCACGAGTATACCTTGATTGGAGGATGGTGCCATGTAGGGGTTCATTGGTCAACGGACAGAACTACCGACAAAGCGTATAGGTGGCAAGACATTTAGAAGATATCCAAGAGGAAAAGTACTTCCATATTCGGATCGGGGACATGAATACCCTCAAAGCATGACATACCCTGTTTGCCGAAAAAAAACTAACTTCTGGAGCGCATTCCTTGGTTGCCTCTCTTACAGTTTTACTGTCTTCGATTCTTGCTCTCAGTTCTTGAATATTTTTTGGGTTTTTTGAGAATTTTGGATTTATCTTAAAGACTATTGTTAGGCCCTAGGAAGCAATTTCACTTTGAGGGGGCACGACCATACATTTTCAGTTGAGGGGGTACTATCAATTACCAAAATACATTGACAGGGAAAAAAAAAGGACATCAGACATTATTATTGAGGGGGCACAAGCATAGTTGTATAGTAGCTATGTTTTCTATAGTATTCTATATATTGGCAAAATTATTGGGGGAGGGGGCACGCCCCCCCCCCCGGTTCCTACGGCCATGTATTGTATATGCAAAAGCAGTATTTTATAATAGAGTAAAAACGGCTTGGTGTAAAATGCTGAGGATGGAGGCTCCAAAATGGAGTGTCACAAAGTGCAAGGGGTGGAGCCTCCTGCGTCAATTTAAAAAAAAAAAATGCTTATCAGTTTAGGACCCTAAAACCTAATTAAATCTGTCCAGATTTCATGAGTAACTGTACGTGGGATAGTCCGAAATATCTGACTATACGTGGGATAGCAGCGAGGGAAATAAATCTTACCAATGTTAAATGTTTCCCTTGCACTTAGCATTTGTTATCGAACAAAATTTAAATCAAAAGCACAGGATGTATGCCCCTATTGTTTCTGATGTATAAAGGTCATTTTTTGACTGAATCTCATTTTGTTGTTTCTCAATTGTTTCTCATTATTTGGAGAAAAGAAAATGACAACAATACACTAAGTGATAATTATGATGTTGTTTCTGTTTCATTCAGCCTCTGTTATCTTAAAAAAATTAAATCAAAGCAGACCTGTACCCCTTTTTGACATGTGAAGGTCATAAATTGTTTCACTGTTTCACAGCTGTTTCTCATTACATACTCCAAAAGATATCGTCAAATGTTCTAAACAAAATTGACTTTTGGCATAAAATAAATTCATTCAGTCAACTTCAAAGGAATTATCTTTTTATTGTTTGGATAATATGACATTTTAGCAAGTTCTTATGGAAAATAAGAAATTGTGTTGACAGATTTCTATAACCAAGAGCTAAAATTTGAACAAGATTCTCCACCCCTTGCACCACCTGACTAAAGAAGCTCCACCCCTTGCACTTTCTGACACTCCATTTTGGAGACTCCATCCTCCGCATTTTACACCAAGCCAGTAAAAACTCTATACAATCATTTTGGGGTTTAAAAAACTTTGAAATCTCTATAAAAAATTTTATTGGTTAAACATGTGAAACATCTCGACCTAATCCTCACCGGTGAAAAGGCAAAATGTATAGCTACCTATATTGTCCTCATGAAATATTTTTGAAAAGTAAGTTGGAGGTCATTAAATCAGAAACATTTTTACAAAACCTCTCATTCCAAACAATACTTATACAAAATACATATGTATATCCAGGCATGCATATATCTCTAGCCGGTCTAAAACTGCGACAAACGGACAGCTAGGAAGGCCCCGAGAAACGTGATCCGGAAGTAAGTTGCCACAATAAAGCACCTAACAAGCTAATGATATAACTCTCTTTTCAAGATCCTGTTTCTATAAAATTTCGTAGGAAAAGGAGTGCACTTTCAGTCTCAAATAAATTTCCTGCCGGGGGCCCCTTATTGTTAATCTAGATATGTGACAGTCGGGGAAAACATTGTACCTATGTTTAATATCTGTCATTTGTCACCCATGGAGTAACTGACCAATTAGGATGCAAGATTTTTGACTCCATGGCCAAACTCCAAGAGGTCAATTTGAAGGACTACGGGATTTCTACGACGCTCGGCTTTCTCCTCAGCAGACCATTAGTAAGTTATTGATGAAATAAAGTAAGGGAACGCGGTGGGTACAAAAATTAATCTTCGTGTCTTCTAAACAATTCACAATTTTACATACACATGTACTTTAGTACGAAACAATACAGACTTATGACAATTATAGGAAAAACTTCCTGCATACTTCGAGTCTTGGAATTCGCTAGCATTAGAGGCGCCAATTCTAGCGAGCCGTGACAAAACACTACGGGAAAGAGTACATACGGTAAGTTTTATTTACAAATAAAAACATCCACATCTTAATTTTTTTCTATATATATTTTATGTTGTATTAATTAAATCAATCAATCAAATATTGTTTGGAATTTCAATGTCAGAAAATGAACAAGGTAATTTAGGTAATATGCATACAGAATGTCTATCTTGGAATAATTATCTAATTCAGTTTTATTTTTTGCAACTACATGCAGTAGCAAAGATGTTGCTTCATCTGTTCATATTTTGTTGAAGTCGGTGTCATTTTTCTAATAAAATATTCGTATTTAATAGCAAACATTGGATCCTTTGAACAATTCTGTTTTTACAAGATTAATTGTAAAAGTAAAATAATTGAGTAAAACTTACAAGGATTTTTTTTAATTGTGTGATAGAAAATTGCGTCTAAATATTTTTTTTTCTCTGGTAAAGATTTATGTATTATGATAAAGGGTGTCAACATACAAGTGGTTTGACAGAAGGAAGGATAAAGATTTTCATGATAATGTTTAAAAAGTGGTGCCTGGGAAATTGCATAACAATTACTTTCTGTCTCTCATATAACGTTTGAAACAAAATGAACTATTGTTTTGATTAAATACAAAAACACAAAAACAACATACATTTTATGTCAGTTATAAGGTTTGTATTGTGAAATCTCTTGAACTGTTTTATGAAAATATATATTCTGGTATCAATGAAATATATGGAGATGACGAACAGTATTCAAGCTCAGAAGGTCCATTAAACAATACAAAATAGGAGCAGAGCAGACAGGAACCTCCAAAATATCAAAGGTGGGATCAGGTGCCATGGAGGAGTGAGCATCAAGTTAAGCAATATGTACATGTGAGACCACATAGTATATCAAAATTGAATGAACCATATTTCTGTACAAGATGATGAATATTTGATGCATTTAAATTAAAATCTCCGTTTCTTTTGTTAGCTGCCTTTGTTAGACCATGAACGCCTCACCACGTATCGTGAACTACGGTTAGCCCACCTCATATTGTGCGCCATCGCTACCGGATACATATGGCAGGAAGGAGACCAAGGAGTTCCGAATGTAAAGTGTTTATAATATATGAAATATCATTTAATCTAAGATTTGACAACATTTAAAAACAAAAGACATATAACCCTGTTCCGTGCGATTTTTAGGTGTTGCCCCGGACCCTGGCTGTGCCGTGGTGTGGAGTTTCCAAGCGGCTCGGTCTTCAACCAGTGATAAATCACGCCACATTCTGTCTGGCAAACGTCAAAATCAAAGACCCTGAAAGGTGAAACTTTTGCTCCAGCTAAACGATCGACTTTTTTGATTGGTATTTATTTGATGACAATAAAACAATCTTCTGAATATGATATTTAAATTCTGTTCTTTTTTAAGGCCCGTCGACTTGTCGTAAGTATAAAATGCCAAAATCATTATCGACTTTCTTTTGATTGCAGAATTATTTGTAAAACTTTGTGTGTGTGCTTTTTTAATTAGTAACTTGAAGTGTGTTTACGAGGTGGTGCCCGGGGGTAGACAGGCGGAGTGGTTCATTATCGTCACCGCCATGATAGAGCACGACTTCTCTCCCGCCATTACGGTACCGAGACTTTATCATGATCAAATAGGATTTTATTTCTAAAATTGTATATTTTCATAAGATATACTTATTACTTTGTATTTCGTTTTATATAAAACATATTGCAATATTTGGGGCATCATATAAACATGAATGTTTATTTTTCAGATGATCGTGGAAGCCATTTCCGCTGCAGACAAGGATGACGTCATCATGTACAAGAAATCAATGGCGGGAATCAGAGATGTGGTCAATAAAATGAAGAATACATTCTCTAAAATGCATGGTAAAGGCATATTTTTTCAATCACAGCTATCAAATTTAGGAAAAGTGACTTACGAGAAAAATTTTCCTACCTTTTAGTCGTATACTGCACTGAAGTTAACAAAATGAAAAATCTTCTTAATTGAGGATAAGTATTTACGAAGAAAAAAAACACTTAGAAAATTGTTAATTTTTGCTTTTACTTTGCTTTTGCACACACTCACTAATCTTTTACAAGTTTAGATGAAATTGAATCGAAATATAGGTGCAGACTTTCTACGGATATTAATATGAAACAATTACAGATTTATTAAATCTTATTTAGATGAATTAGACGCAGACGTCTTTTATAATGTTCTGCGCCCGTATCTGAACGGGTAAGTTAAATAACATCTACCATTTCCCTTCATAATCTTGTGTATCCTGATATAATTTAAAACCATAGGTGAGCACCAATTTAACAACATAATTCCCGTAATTATTTATAGATGGGGAGGGAATGGATCGTCCCTCCCGGAAGGTTTGATCTATGAGGGAGCCTCAGAGGAACCTCAAAAGGTATGATGTGAAAACAAGTAATTTTCAGAAAGTTGACTAAAATGAATGTACTGAAAGTCTTGAAGGTAAACAATTTGGAAAACTTCCAGAAAGGTAACCCGTATGTGTTCTGTTTCAGATGATCGGGGGTAGTGCTGCACAGAGCAGCTCCCTACAGCTAGTGGACGCTGCCCTGGGGGTCGAGCACGATAAAGGTAGACTTTAAGAGATTTTAAAAAAAAATGGCACAGATGCAGATTGAGAGACTTAGTAATTTGTTGAACTCCAACGAGCTTATAATTCTAAATATAAATGCCTCTGATGAATTTAGTGTTTCAATCAGTGACCAGTTTGCTAAAATACGACTTCTAGAATTTTGTTTAATAATCTTCTCCTTATTATTTTACAATCCAACCTATTCCCTTTCCACGAGACCGATTTTCTGTTTGATAATTATAACAGATATTGAGGAGTTTTTGAACAAAATGCGTTCCTACATGCCGCCTAAACACGCCGAGTTTATAGAGTTGATTTCCAGAGAGACCAATCTCAGACAGTACGGTGAGACGCCTATTCTTCTTTCTGAGTTCTCTATTATAAAGGTGTTAACGTCTCTTCAGCACCATTTTGAGTTCTGTTTTTATAATACCTTTCTTATTGTCAAATTTCATTACCAAGTTTTTTGTTGGAAGTAACTGCTCTGTTATAAATATAAGCAGCAGACAATCGCGGAGGGGACATCAAAATCTCTTACAATGAAGTTGTGCAGGCAGTCATTAACTTCCGGTCTTACCATATACAAATCGTCACCAAGTAAGTTATACATACAGTCGTGGACTTTTAGCTCTACAATATACACATCACCAAATCAGTCTACCACTTCCGGTTTGACCGTATATACAAGTCGCCAGGTCAGGTGTAAAATCATTAACTTCCGTTACTCTCATATACATGTACATATCTCCATATAATTCATACTGTAAAGGACTTCCGGTCTAACCGTATACAAGTTTTTTTACTAGGTAAGACTGACTTTCATTGTCTTTAAACCCTTTATCAATATGTCTACATTATTAATTAATTTCCATATGCTAACATGCCTTTATAAAGCTCAGAGTAGATATATTTGCTGGCACAGGCGAACATAAAATGTCATTTGAATGTAGGTACATCATCATAACGTCAAACAAGGAAACAAGAAGCCGAGACTACGAGTCCGTGTCCAAGAAAGGCACCGGGGGATCTAGTAAGTTCTCTGTACGATGTGTTAACTATGTACAGGCGCACACATTTTGTTAATCCATCAGATATGAGGACTTGCTATATTCCATTTTCAGGTTTGATTCCATTTTTGAAGTGTATACGTGAAGCTACAGTTAGAACCCTCATAGACTGAAGGTGGTATTATTCCTGCAAAATGGACTCCTAGCAGCACATCCATATATGTGTATAGAAATTCCATTCAGAAGGCCAATCTCAACACGGGATCAAAGAAAATGTTACTAAATTTGTATTGGCTTTTTCTAAAATAAAAGAGTATATCAAATATTTTATTGCAAAATTTGTTTTTTGGCTGCCCAAGATTTTTGAACATTTCTGGTTTAGCCTTTTAAGGTTAACACTATGGAAAATAGTCCCAGAGATATTAAAACGAGTTGACTTGCAAAAAACTCTTAGCCCAATTCGATGTACAGGTAACTCCATATATATATATATATATATATATATATATATATATATATATATATATATATATATATATATATATATATATATAATAAATCCACACACGTAGTCGTATATCAAAAAAAATCACAACACCGAAATAAACTCTACCGGTTTCATTTTCAATCTTCAGGAGTTTGACAAAATATTGCTTAGTTACACATAAATACAAAATCAATATTCTTACTGTGACGTCAAAAAGCGCTAATGTGAATTTACGCATTAGTAAAGTTAATTATGACGTCATGACATAACGTAAGAAATTTAATACGGGAAATTAAATTTTCCATACAAATAATACAGATATAAATTGCGGGAAAAAAGTATATATCTGATACAAAATATAATTATGTAGCATTTAAAACAGGTTTATATCTGTTAATAAAAAGTTTTTCTTTGGTTTCACGTTCTTTTTCTGTGGTATCCCTTCGAAACTTGTAAAAGGGAAAAACGGTAAAGTTGGGACTTTTATTCTTGGCACAGTTTCTAATATGGTCACTGACGGGGGTACATCGGTATTTTGGTTCCCTAATTTGCTGTCGGTGTACGGTCATTCTGTGTCTTAAGGTGTCTCCTGTCTGACCGATATAATTTTCACCGCAACCGGCGCAGGTAATCACATAAATAAGATTGGAACTAGTGCACGACATGTTGGTTTTAATATTAAATTTACTTCCGGTTTTGAAATGAAATGTAGATCCTTCTGTCAGGTATGGACATGTACTGCATCTGGAATTGTTGCATTTATTGATGATGGCTGGTTCATGGTTGTTACTGGAAAAAGATGCTCTTGTAAGGATGGATTTAAGAGAAGGGCTTTGTCGCTTGCTTTTGATAATCTGTGAAGTATCTAATATTTTCTTCATGTCTGGGTCATCTTCTAAGATAGGCAGGTTATTTCTTATTATGTTGAAAATTTCCGGATTTCTGGGATTGTGCGTTGAAACGTATGGTATAACATTATCAACGGGTTTATTTTTCACTGTAAGAAGATCCTTTCTTTCATGAGATTTGGCTTTGTTAATTCCGTTTTGAATCAGTTGTTTAGGATAATGTCTTTGAGGGAGTAGATTTTGTAATTCTGTGAGACGAGAGTCCAAGATTTCCGTATCAGAGATTATTGTACAAAGACGCCTTGCTAAATTGTATGGAATATTATTCTTGGTGTGTCTAGGGTGACATGAATCAAATATAAGATATTGCTTTGTATCTGTTATTTTGTAGAAAACAGGAAACAGCGAAGGAATTATACAACACCTAGAAATTCTTTTTTAGGATATGGCCCCAGACAAAACCAAAACCAAATAACGTAACACAAAGCAAGGACCCGGACCAAAAGCACGAACCAAAAGTGATTAATTTATCGAATCGAATATTTTCTGACATTGAAATTAAAGTACTTGAAAAGGGATTAAAATTTACCCCTACACCACGCTCAAAACACATAGAGGAAATTACAAATGACACGGAGGCTTTTTGTAGAAGATTACGACTAGCTGAATTTTTCTTAGATAAGGAGAATGATGACGAATCTATTGTAGCCAATAAAAGTGACTTTATGCCACCTAAAGGTAGGAACCAAAACTTAGATAAATTCATAAATACAGTTAAAACCTTTCCTCTCGAACAACTTAGCAATAAACATACTATTAAAAACAACTTAACAAAATTAGAGTGGGATGCGATTGATAATTTAAAGAATGACGAAAGCATTATCATTAAGGAAGCGGACAAAGGGAGCGCAGTGGTCATTATGGATCGTGAATATTACAAATCATTGTGTCTTTCTGTGCTAGAAAACAGTTCATACTATGAAAAACAACAAACATATGAAAGTAAGAAGGTCATGAAAAAACTCCAGACTATTATAGATAAATACGGACAAAAACTTACAGAGAAGGAAACCGGATATCTTTTGTCATTTAACATTAAAACCAGCAACTTTTATGGTTTGCCTAAAATACATAAAAGCCAGACAATAAAAGATAGATGCAAAATTTCTGGATCAACGTACATTAGTGTTGCAAATCCAGCTGATCTTACAGTTAGACCCATAGTTGCAGGACCAACATGTGAAACTCACAGGATAAGTAATCTATTGGATATTCTGTTAAAACCTTATGTTACCAAAGTTCAAAGTTATATAAGAGACACTATAGATTTTCTTAATACAACTCCCGAGAAAATCAACCCTGAATCCATTTTAGTCTCATTTGATGTCACCAACCTCTATTCTAATATTCCGCATGATCTAGGACTGATCGCCATAGAACATTGGATAGACAGATTTCCTAATCTTTTGCATGACCGATTTCCCAAAGATTTTATCTTAAAAAGCCTTCAATTCATCTTGGAAAACAACTTTATACATTTTAATGAAATAATTTACAGACAAAAATTAGGCACGGCTATGGGAACAAAGGTGGCACCTACTTACGCTACACTTGTCCTCGGATTCTTAGAAGAAAAACTATTTTCTACAGTTCAAGAAAAATTCGGTCACAACTTTGAAACTTATAAAAAAAAAATCGTGGAGACGCTACTTAGACGACTGTTTCATCATATGGGACAAAGGTGAAGATCAATTAATGGAATTTTTCAATATTCTCAACACTTTGAGCCCTACTTTGAAATTCACCATGGAATCGGATAAAAATATGTTATCCTTCCTCGACGTTATGGTTATTAAAAAAGAAGACCGTATAATAACGGACGTTTTCTACAAAATAACAGATACAAAGCAATATCTTATATTTGATTCATGTCACCCTAGACACACCAGGAATAATATTCCATACAATTTAGCAAGGCGTCTTTGTACAATAATCTCTGATACGGAAATCTTGGACTCTCGTCTCACAGAATTACAAAATCTACTCCCTCAAAGACATTATCCTAAACAACTGATTCAAAACGGAATTAACAAAGCCAAATCTCATGAAAGAAAGGATCTTCTTACAGTGAAAAATAAACCCGTTGATAATGTTATACCATACGTTTCAACGCACAATCCCAGAAATCCGGAAATTTTCAACATAATAAGAAATAACCTGCCTATCTTAGAAGATGACCCAGACATGAAGAAAATATTAGATACTTCACAGATTATCAAAAGCAAGCGACAAAGCCCTTCTCTTAAATCCATCCTTACAAGAGCATCTTTTTCCAGTAACAACCATGAACCAGCCATCATCAATAAATGCAACAATTCCAGATGCAGTACATGTCCATACCTGACAGAAGGATCTACATTTCATTTCAAAACCGGAAGTAAATTTAATATTAAAACCAACATGTCGTGCACTAGTTCCAATCTTATTTATGTGATTACCTGCGCCGGTTGCGGTGAAATTATATCGGTCAGACAGGAGACACCTTAAGACACAGAATGACCGTACACCGACAGCAAATTAGGGAACCAAAATACCGATGTACCCCCGTCAGTGACCATATTAGAAACTGTGCCAAGAATAAAAGTCCCAACTTTACCGTTTTTCCCTTTTACAAGTTTCGAAGGGATACCACAGAAAAAGAACGTGAAACCAAAGAAAAACTTTTTATTAACAGATATAAACCTGTTTTAAATGCTACATAATTATATTTTGTATCAGATATATACTTTTTCCCGCAATTTATATCTGTATTATTTGTATGGAAAATTTAATTTCCCGTATTAAATTTCTTACGTTATGTCATGACGTCATAATTATCTTTACTAATGCGTAAATTCACATTAGCGCTTTTTGACGTCACAGTAAGAATATTGATTTTGTATTTATGTGTAACTAAGCAATATTTTGTCAAACTCCTGAAGATTGAAAATGAAACCGGTAGAGTTTATTTCGGTGTTGTGATTTTATATATATATATATATATATATATATATATATATATATATATATATATATATATATATATATATATATATATAGAGGATATTCAATGTCTTGTAGATGAATATGGAATTTATTTCACGAGTGGGACAGGATTTTTTGATATTTTCACGAGTGCGAAGCACGAGTGAAAATATCAAAAAATCCTGTCTCACGAGTGAAATAAATTCCATATTCATCTACAAAACATTGAATTTTCTGTTTATTACATTTTCTTTGATTTTCCCTTTGCCTCTGTCTTTTCTTAACACAGTGTCATAGGCTTTACGTCATAGTTGAGCGGTTGAGACGTCATAGCTTAGAAGTTGTGTGTCAGATTGAAAACATTACATAGCATGGATTTTAGCAACATATTTAGGAAGAAATTTGCAGTTTTAGCTCTATCAAGATGCTTAGTTACTATCTCTATCTTATGACAGGCCAGAAATTATTTTTTACTTTCTTTGATATCCTTTCACACTGTGAGAGAATATCATTTTTGGTATTCTTTCACACTGTGAGAGAATATCACTTTTATTCAATAAATAAATCACAGTATTTCACTGTTGAAAATGTAATAAATATATATATACAACCGCAAAAGAGTATTACATATTCCCATTTAAAAAATATTTATAATATTAATTTTTAATTTTTGGGCAGGAAGGTTGCTTACGAGCAGAGATATCCATAGATTATGTAGACAAGATCAAACTTACAGAGTTTGTGACTCGTGAACTGGTAGACATTGATGCGTGTAATTTCCTTTATTCAGAAAACAGAAGCTGTGGGCAAAATGACCAATCAAATGAGGCAGAGACGATAGATCGCTACAGAGGGTCTTTTACTATCAATCTAAATTTTACGTATATTAAAAAATAATTCGGGTAGTCAAGATTGTGCGTCGTATTTAAAAAGTGTCGACTTACGTACGGCTTTTGTATTTTGTAG